ACAAAAAAAGTTATGTTATCACTGCCATCGACTGAGTGCATAAAGGAAACTGGATGGTGTTGTGGTCGTGACCAATTGGGTTAACTGGAATAAACAGAAAAAAAGAAAAGTGGTTAGTCATTATTTGCAAGCAGTAGCTAAGATATCATCATCGATATCTCCCCCCGGAAAAATATGCTCCTTTCTTGGGGTCCACCTGCATGGCATCAGGTCCTTTGCGTTTCCGTCGTGATCTCCTATTAAGATGTTGTTGAAGTTTCACAGTCTTCTTAGTTGCTGGATTTCCTATGACGAAACTGTCCAAGAAAATTTCCCCCATTGAGCACGGTTTCTCGGCTTTCTGTGAAGGTGAGATTCGGGAACGACGATAGATTCTCCGCTTCGCCCCATGATGGCGATTACATTGAGTTCTGATCTTTCTCACAACTATTATGGGATCAGCCCAGTTTGAGTGATTTACTGGCTGAATGACACCTAGTGCTTCAAAACTGTCAAGTTCTTGATCAACGGCTGACAGAGCAGCATAATGTACTGGTCGTTTTGGTCTGAAAATGGGCTTTGCATTTTGTTTTCGAAGATTATTTGCGTGAGGTGCGGTCGGCACTATAGAGGAATCAAATGCATGAGATTTTGAGACCTTACGACAGCAGACTTTGTTTGATGAATTTGATGGGGAATCATTTTGTGAACATGTTCCATCGGAGTCATTTGATTTAACATCATTGTGAGAACACATTAAATCGGAGTTATTCGATTTAGTATCATTATGAGAACACATTAAATCGGAGGTATTTGATTTGACAGCATGATGAGAACACATTAAATCGGAGGTATTTGATTTGACATCATAATGAGAACACATTAAATCTGAGGAATTTGATTCAGAAATATTTCGAGAACATGTTACATCGGAAGCATTTAGTTCATAGACATCAAGGGAACATGACACAACTAAGGCATTTGATTCGGAAATACCATGAGAATTTTGGATAGATTCAGAGCAAGAATTATGAGAACATACTTCATTTAATAAACTATTTAAGACATCGATCTCCTCAATCCAGTCCAATCCCAATAGATCTAAATCATGCCGATTTATTAGATAACAAACATCAGTGAGTTTATGTTCCTTGAATTGCACGTTGCAGGTGACTTCTCCTGTTAACTTCACTATGTCGCCTGAAGCATTTCGAACAACATGTTTTGTTGGTCGGATGGGTGGGCACCCTAGCTTACTCCATGTGATCTTGGAGATCAGTGTAATGTCGGAAGCAGTGTCCAACTGAAGACGAATAGGTTTTTCATTCACTAATAAATTCACATACTTCCGTTTACTTTGAAAACCAACTTTAAAAGTTGCAAACGTGCTTTTGACTTGACTCTGTGGCTGTCGCTTCGCCTTTACGCCACGATGTTTGGACTGACGTTTATCTGAGGAGCAGTGACCTTCTTTATGACCAATGCGATGACATTGGCGGCATTTGTGGTTCTTGAATGGGCATAACTTCACAAAGTGCCATGATCCGCAAAACCAACATGGTGATGGTGGTTTACTAGAAGGTTGCTGTGTGTTCGCCGTCTTTTGTTTGGAAGATTTGGAAGATCTGCATGCATTTATTGAAGCAAGATTGGAAGTCTTTGCATTTTGCTGTACCATCGTGGTATCATGTTTAAGATTTAACAACCGTCGACACTCGGTTGTGACCATTTGCAGGGTCATGTTAGGCTCCTGCTCAATGCGCGATAGAATTCTGGTACGTATATCCATATCTTACGGATTCTTTAATCCACAGATAAAAATCAAACATTTAAATTGATCTGCTGTAATTTCATTTATTCTAAAACGTTCGCATTCTTTATTTACTTGTCCAGCGTATGTGAGATAATCATCAGATAAGGATTTTGATATTTGAAAACACTGATAACGAATGCTGAATAATGAGGATTGTTCACCAAAAATTTTAGATAAAGTTTGAACTGTCTCATTGAATGATAAATCTCGTGGATTTTGTGGCAAAATGAAATTCACATATTTGTTATATTCAAGTGTTCCGAGTCTTCTCAAGAGTAGGCGAACTTTGGCTGCATCATCAAGATTTGAGCATTCAACACGAAATGTGTCTTCAAAACGACGAAACCAGGAATCGAAAATCATACCAGAATCGGGATCATAATTGAATTCACAAATAGAATTTCCGATGCTGTCATATTTATCTGACTGAGAATTTGAAGATGAATGAAATGAGAGCTTCTGCATCAATGCATCTAAAAGCTTCATTTGGTTTGCATCATTCTGAGCTTGCTGAATTTGTAGAATAGTTTTAAGGTCGTCCAAAGAAACAGACATTTTGATTTGGATCAATCAATATTTTAAATTTTTAAAAAATCTCCGTCGCCACTTTTGTTACGTCCTTGAATCTGTCTACCCACTTTAGTACCGAGTATGACTTGTCTAATGTAGATTAAGACCTTGACCCGGTAGGCTGACTGGCTTAACCTTGAGGCTAATATGCGTGAGTTCGAAGTGGGGGTAGAGAGACGAAAACTATTCTATCCATGACAAGCACGCGAGAGAGAGAGAGAAGACAAAGACAACTGGAACACTAATCGCTGTATTCCAATCCCGATCTGGCACTCGAATTCTCAATTCAGATTAGTGTAAGAAGATACATGAATAAATAGATGAATAACCTGACCACAACGTACAATAATTAGGAAAATACAATTATGTCCAAAACTGGGGGATTGTAGTTGAAAATAGAGTACAAAAGGTTACGTCTAAATTGCAATAGCTTTAGAACAGAAAATGCTATGGCAGTGAACTATACATCAAACGAAAGCTCATGATCTGTAGAATAGGCCCGGGGCATCTCTACAACTTCCGTTCATTGAGTTACAAAAAGGGTATTGATAGTTTTCGTCTCTCTACCCCCACTTCGAACTCACGCATATTAGACTCAAGGTTAAGCCAGTCAGCCTACCGGGTCAAGGTCTTAATCTACATTAGACAAGTCATACTCGGCACTAAAGTGGGTAGACAGATTCAAGGACGTAACAGGTATTGTACGAACCCTTTTTGACCGCGCACGCAAAATCTGCTCAAATGAGTGTCTGAAAGAAGATGAAATGGCTCTAATCACCAAGTGCCTGCGTGAAAACGCATACCCGGAGAAATTCATCCATAAATACGCAAACACCAACCGTCAAGTAAAGTATGATCGAGTGGAAAAGAAAACATGCTTCTTATACCTACGTTTCAAAGGAGATGAAATCGCTGGAATAATTAATCACAGACTTAATTCTGCGTTGAAAGCGACCTACCCAGCAGCTAAACTGACAACGGTGTGGGAAACTAACTGCTCACTCAAACAAGCTAAAATCGACAAGTCCTTATTTCTCAGTAGCTCCGACTGCATTTACCAATTTACATGTACGTGCCAAAGTATATACATTGGAAGAACCGAGAGAAGAGTACATGTTCGCATTTCTGAGCATATTCCTAAGAAACTGAGGCTGCGAGGGACCAGGGCTTTCTACAGTGCAATAGCTCGGCGTTTACTTGATACCGTGCACACCATTGATATTTCTTATGCTCTCAAACTTATCAGCAGACAAAGTACGACTGCTCTCCGGTTCGCTGAAGCGATCGCGATAAAAAAAACTGAAACCGGATCTATGTACTCAAAAAGAGACAGTGATAAACTTATTACTGACCTGGTAATCCTTTTTTTTGTTTTATTTTTTTTATATTAGTTTTATTTTTGTTAATATTTAGTTTTTATTATATTCTTCTTCCATTACCCATTTCTCAAACCACCCTTTCTCTCACACATCGCCGCTCACTTGTCTCTCTTAAATTATATGAACTCTCTAAATTCTATTCAATTATTACGTAACCCACCGTAATTGTTTTTAATACCATGACTGCTTCATTACCTCTAAAATCATCACACATTTGGTCTTATCTGTCTTTGAACTCACTCAACTATGACGCCACCCACGCTTTATGCTTCCTTCATTCTAATACCTAATAACCTTTGACCTTTCCTTGCATATATATATATAGTTATCTTTGATAACCTTTTGTTATTCCAATCCTTTACATTCATGTCAATTGTTCCACACTATTTATTACCCCAATGCTAAAATTCTAATACATATTTGGTTGTAAGCAGCTGATGAGAAACCACGAAATATAATGAATTCATATTATTCTGCATCAATATTTGTTCTGTCTTTATTTAAATTCATTTTTCAGTTAGATCGTCATCAGGTTTTACCCCAATAAACATGAATGTTTACATGGATATATGAAAATATTAAACCAATTAATGTAGTTTACGACGCTTAGTTGACAGTGGTCATGTTGGGTAGATAAATGCGAAGCATCTCGAGTAATCTATCGTATAGATCGTCGTTCCTTAAAGGGATGACTGTTATGTCCCGATATGGGACTCCTCAGTAGTGCCCGTCCACGACCGTTATTGCATTTGGGCCTATTGATCCAAGTTTAACTTCTCATGTCGAACTATTGACTGTAATTACTACTATTACTACTCTAGTGTAAATTGCATTGTAATATTTAGTATTTATCCACTAAATCGACGTCAGAATAACCGAAATCTCTGCGCATGACACACTTAGTAATAATGTAAACGTAGTGGATAACCCCAGTCCAAAATAATGTATAACCTGCTGGAAATCTTCCGTAGGACATAATAACAATTTTAATAAATCAGTCACACTGTAAATCCTACATTTATTCACACATATCCAAGTGCGCATGAACATACAAAGATAGTCGACCTAGTGCTCAATGTATTTAAAATTATCAACTCGAGTTTTGACTGTGATATTTATGAAATGGAAAAATCCACATTAACAATGAGTAAAAATTAAGTATGGTAAAGTTGACAAGAGACACAATAAACACCTTTCTACTAAAAACTTCACTTTAAACGTTAAACCTGTAGTTTGATTTGTTTGCTTCTCTGTATTAGTTCGAGGTATAACCGGAGAAAGTCGTCGGCAAACAATTACCACAGTATCACCGATTAATTTTCATCCTAGTCCAGTAGGAATTCCATCTCTTTCAAGGCGTTTAACCGAAAGCTTATTGACTCCAACACGTTGGGCTTCAGCAATTATCTATCCGCATAAAGATAATTTTACAGAAGATATTTTTCGTAATAAAACAACCGAATATATCGAGTACAGGTAAGTTGTCATATTGATTTCGGCTATGTGTGTATTATGTTATTCGTAAGAGTATGATTTCTGTCATTATTGATTAAATAATCCAGGTCAGTTTGTTTTTCTTGAAATCTCAGATTTTATTCTCATTAAATATGAATTGTTAAGATCCCTGAATTCCGGGCTAAATCTATTTATTGACTAGTACAATAGTATATTCAATAATAAATGATGAATTAGGCACTACTTCGAAATAACGTCATCTGATTTCATGTTCTACATTTTTTTGCTGAGATTTATATTCTAGAACAAGTAACTTGAAAGAACTATATCGTTTCCAGAATTTGAAGATGATGCATTAAATGGATCCATCTCAATTATAAAGTTAAAAAGGTATAGTTACTAATCGTTTTTTTTTATATATATTGATGACACAGAACACAATTCAATAACATACTTAAATCTTGGTGAATTTATACTTATCATTACCAAGGTTTGACTTAATGATCCCATGTAAACTGAGTATTGAGTAGATTGTCATTAATAAGATAATGTTATACTTATGGTATCGTATTTGAGTAGAAAATTAAATTTCTGACGTTTCGTGATTCAATGTAAGACACTTCTTCAGAGAGTAACCAACTTTTATTTATTTAAATCTATTTTTTTCTATTATGTTTACTGCTCTATCTCAATTAAGTCAGTTTTTAAATTTTCGATCTTCACTTATATGCTCACTATTCTACGAATAATTTTGTTTTATTTATTTAATTCGAAAACACCTATATTCAAATGTAGACCATATTTTACATATTGGATAACATTTATTCATATGTTGATTTTTATTGCTGGTTCAATCGGTTATGGATTTGCACCGATTGGTTTGGGGATAGCTACACGTATCGTTGGTAAAGTGTTACTGCCCACATTGACCGTTGATCAAGTTTGTTGGATAGAATATGAAAATCTATGGATAGGTCCAAGGCAAACAGATTTAGTCCGATTAGGTGCACGTTTTCCACCATGTATGCGATTTGATCCAATATTACATGATTCAGTGATTAAACGTCAAAAGAAATTTGATCGTGCGTAAGTTTTCTCATCTGATAATTGAACAATTTATGAGTATTTCTATAAATTCCTAACTGTCTAATCATTACGACTTCATTCAGTCAGGCAGCAAGGTTGATAAAAATAATTCTAATGGGTTGATTAGACTTTAACCCACAGTTGTTATTGATAGACCAGAAATACTGAATCACTATATGGTTGACTAGAATTTGCAAATCAACCACCCAGCATTACAAAGCGTGATGTCAAGTCGATTCGGTTAGCAGTTGTAGCTAAAGTTGTTCATTTGAATTCTAATAGCAATAAGGACTACAGAAACATAATGTTGGTTACCATTCAATATTCAATCAGTGTAAACATCTCTGAAACTGGATGAATCTCACGGGAATCACCAGTTACCAGTTACATAATCATAACTGTGTTTATTGAACCTCAAAGTCATGTGACCAATGTTGGCACAAATATCCCAAGCAAACCAAACAAAATTTGTGAAGTCTCACCGAGTGACTAATTTCCTAATTTTAAAAATCGACTCATGAATTAACCTATTAAATTACTCCAGCTCCCGCAAACCCTCGATTCTGATAATAATCATCATGTGCTCACTAGAGACTGGCTTCAAGAGGTATTTCATGGAGTTCTAGTGAGAAGCTGTGATCAGTGGAGTTCAACCGCGTCTGTCGTGAGGCCTTTAATCATTGAAGACAATGGTGGACGGTGGTATAATATTGTGGATTGGTTGAAGTTAGACATTAACACCGTTGGATGTCGGCCATCTCAGTGGTCTATAGGTTAAGCGTTCGCGCGTGAGGCCGATAGGGTCTTGGTTCGAATCCCGCGGGAGGTCCATGGATGCGCAGTGCTGAGGAGCCCCATACTAGGACGAAAGGTCTTTGATGGTGGCCTAGCTTGGATCGACTCATGAATTCAACTGTTAGATTTTAAACATATCTACCCATGAAATGTAATTTAAAAAAACCATTTTAATGAAATCCTAAATGTTGGATATTAACTGATCTCTGACTGTACGAAATTTGATAGAGGGGTTACATTCGCCAGTTAATTGCCTTGTTATGATGCTGAAGGAAGTTCTAGGTTAATACAGTATTAAAACTATTTTAGATTAGAAATCCCCATAGAATATTCAAAAATGAAGAATATTTGGGCAAACAATTGTTTTCAATAACTTCATCAGGTTCTACAGTTTTAAGTCCGTAATTATAATTTCGTACAAAGGCCAAAGTAGGGGATGTATTAATGAATTTCACAATGTTATATGTCTAAAATGGTGGACGTTTGCATCTGTTACGACATATATACTTCAAAACTGTGTTATTTGTAAATTAGAAAGGTCATTTAATAAAGGTCAGAATGATTTGAAGTGAAGTGTCAAGTCACAATCAGTATACTAGACACTTCATTTTTGCATACTTTAGTTCAGTTTAATTCTCAACACACAACCATTGAAGCTCTGTGATTTCAAATCATACAACACTCAGTTATGAGTCACCATGCTTTTATTTTCTTTGTTATGTTCAACAAAAAATGTTAGTTATTGTTACGACAGGCAGACTAATTATAGCGTTTGAGTCACAGCCGAAATAGTTCGGATTCTGCAATATTGGAAAAGTCATCTGAGATACTTGTGGGAAAATACTTTCATTGTGAAAATGTATCGTTAAAATTATGTTGCTGGTTAGTACACTCAAGTTAATAAAAGCGAGACATACGTCTGTTACCCCTCATGGAGGAGCATAGGCCGCCCACCAGCATTCTCCATCAAACTCTGTCCTGAACAGTCCTTCCCAGTTGCTATTCATCCTTTTGATTTCTTCGAATTCCCTGTGCAATATGGTCTTCGGTATTCCTCTTTTCCGCTTCCCTACAGGATTCCAAGTTAGCATTTAACGCGTGATGCAGTTTAGTGATTTCTTCAATCTATATTCTATCCACTTTCAACATCTTTTCCTAATTTCCTCTTCAACTGGAAGCTGGTTTGTTCTCTCCCACAGTAGACTTTTGCTGATGGTATCCGGTCAACGGACATTGGGTGTCTTGCGTAGACAGTTGTTTGTAAACACTTGTACTCCTTTGGTGATGGTTGTAGCAGTTCTCAAAGCTTCAGCTTCGTACAGTAGAACTGTCTTGACGTTCGTGTTACAGATTCTGACTTTGATGTTGGTTGATAGCTGTTTTGAGTTCCATATGTTCTTCAACTGTAGGAATGCTACCCTTAACTTCCACATCCTTGCCTTTACATCTACATCAGATCCTCCTTGTTAGTCGACGATTCTTCTCAGGCGCGTTAATGTTTCCACCTCTTCCAGAGTTCCTCGATCATGTGTGATTAGTTTGGTGTTCTCTGTGTTACATTTTAGGATCTTGCTTTTTCCCTTGTGTATTTTGTGGTGTACTGCTGTAGAGATGCTGCTATATTGTCTATGTTCATTTGGCTTTGTTGGTGTGTATAGGATAGAAGAGCCAGGTGATCTGAGAAGTCCAAATTGTCTATTTGCATGTGAGCTATCCATTGTATTCCGTGCTTGCCACTGGTGTGGAGGTCTCCCTAATCCATTCAACAATCAGAAGAGAAAAAGGGAGAGTTAGCAACATTGTCTGTCCAGTGCTTCTTTTGCCTCAATTCGATCTTGGCAACCACCAGGTAGTAATCCGAGCTATATCAGCTCTTCTCCTAGTTCTCATGTCTTTCGTTGACCTTCTGAAATTTTTAATGATGGATATATGAGCGGTCTGATTCTCCGTAATGTAGACTGGTGAGACCCATGTAGCTTTGTGTGTGTTTTTATAAGAATATTGTGCCGCCCATAGCCATGTTGTTGAATGCATTTAATTTTGCAAATCTCTCTACATTCTTGTTCCTTTATCCCAGTCAGTCCATGTCGTCCCATGATATCTTCATATCTGGTGTTGTCCATTCCGACTTTGGCATTTAAGCCTCCCATCGGGATGGTGAGGTCCTTTCTTGGACACTTCTCTACAATCGATTGTAGCCTCTCATAAAACTGGTCTTTATCGTCTTCATTGCTATCATTGGTAGGCGCATAACACTGGATAACATTCATTGTGATTCTCACCTTTTTTGTTTTGAAGTAGGCTTTGATGATCTTGGACCCAGAGATTTCCATCCTGTAAGTGCTTTATGTACTCATTTGGACAACATCAGAGCAGCTCCTTGTGTGTGAGGAGCATTTTCTTTTTCATGACCATAGTATAGCAGCATATCTGTCAAATTTAATGTTTTCTGTTCAGCTTGAGTACAATGGGCTTCACTGATTCTGAGCAGCACCAAATTGTATCTTCTGATTTCCGTAGCCATTTGACTAGTCTTCCCGCTCTCCCCCATTGTCCGGACATTCCAAGTACCTATATTAAAAAAATCACCCGGGAATTATATATATATATATATAATTCTTAGGTTAGAAACAGGGTGGTGTCTTGTTAATATAATAACAAATTCAGTACTTTATAGCGAGATAATGTTACCTTCTCAAACTCCTCAACTTCCACCTTTAATTCATGTAGAGATGGTCATGTTTCTGGACTTAAAATTTCTCTTAAATTATTTTCCCCTAACTGATTGTTCCTGATACATGATTCAAATGATTTAAATAAAATTTTAAGTGAATATACCATAGGTTATTGTAATTTATATAGGCTTAAATCAATGAACATTATCTTCCATAGAATAAGTTCTATCGAATGACTAGTGCTTCTAGAGTACCGTGGGGAGAGATTTACTGTGGACGAACTCCCTTTACTATTTGTCAGTCAGTTTGATGATAATTAAGACATTCAACATTCTAAGTTTGTATTGTTAGTTATATATAGGTTTGGCAAGCTATAGTGAGCAAGTAAACTATTCACCTAACTAAAACTATCTCCTGTTTATTTATTTCTCGATCGCTGTTTTACTCGACTGTTGCTGCTACCTTGACGTGGTGGTCGGGCTTGCCTATCGTGATGAAGCAATCGAGCTATGCTGGCTGGAACAATCGTTCCTCGAGGTCCTACCATGCCAGACAGGTCGGTTGAAGAGCGGTGAGACTAAAAGCAGCAATCCCAAGGTCCGAAGGCGAAGTCGTACTGTACAGGGGTGTGACGGCAGTAAGGTGTTTCCTTCAGACAACCAGCATGACAGCGATGCTGCCTTCCCACAAGGAGGGGTGAGGTTAGAAAAGGTCGACCCTAAAAATGCACACTTCGCCTTATCCCACGGATTTCCGTCTCCGGCGGTAAGGTTCTTTGAAGAACGGAGCTAACACTTCAAAAATCCCCCACAAAAAGGCCGTGCGTGACCGGCCTCAAGCAGTTGTCCCTTGGGCACTGCGGTCACGCTCCCAGGTCGTTAAGACCAACACTAATCCGACTTCTTTTTCAGGTCCCTCAAGAAATACCCTTCCACGGTGTGGGCAACCGGGAAGTGATATTAGCCCTCATACCCGTAACAGTACACGAGACCAAGTTGGTCACTTTCAAATCCTTCCTACACTTCCTAACAACTCTCTTATCTCCACGACTAACCCTTTCCACGTCCTTTTATCACCTCGCACCGCTAGGGCAAACGGTTCAAGTACACGGAACGTTATTCCTGGTCTCCTGAAACCACGCTCTAAACTACATGTAGGAACTTTTAATGTCCGAACATTGTGCCAAATAGCACAACAGGCTTCCTTAGCTAGGACTCTAGAATCTTACACCATCGATGTGTGATGCGTCTCCGAAACGCGCATACAAGATCCGAGTAGTGTCATTCATTTGACCTCACCTAATCAAAATCTTCTGTATGGGGCAGAGACGTGGAGAACTACGAAAGCCATTATCCAGAAGATACAAGTGTTTATTAACAGCTGTCTACGGAAAATACTTCGGATCCGATGGCCAGACACTATCAGCAACAAGTTACTGTGGGAGACAACAAACCAGATTCCAGCGGAGGAAGAAATCAGGAAGAAGCGCTGGAAGTGGATTGGGCACACTTTGAGGAAATCACCCAATTGTGTCACAAGACAAGCCCTCACATGGAATCCTGAAGGTCGAAGGAGAAGAGGAAGACCAAAGAACACATTACGCCGAGAAATGGAGACAGACATGAGAAGAATGAACAAGAACTGGAAAGAACTAGAAAAGAAGGTCCAGGACAGAGTGGGTTGGAGAAAACTGGTCGGCGGCCTATGCTCCATTGGGAGTAACAGGCGGAAGTAAGAAGTAAGTAAGTAATCAAAATAAAGAACCATCTCGATACACGCTTCGTGTATCTGGAAGCCCTGATGCTGCTTCTCGTGGCCTCGCTGGAGTAGGTATAGCATTATTCCTAGGGCAGAACTAGCTCTTTTAGACTGGATCCCAGTAGACAGTCGTCTATGCGCTGTCCGTCTAAACGGGTCAGTAAGGACTCGGAAAGATAGGGAAACTCGTCGTTGTCTCTTCGTCATCTCTGCCTACTATCCCACTGACTGTAGCTCAGACGATATAAAAGATGAGTTTTACAGGAAACTTTCTGACCTTCTCCGAAAAGCTAGGCATTCTGATGTTGTAATAGTGGCTGGTGACTTTAATGCTCAAGTAGGTAAACTAAGTGAAAGGGAAAGACACCTAGGAGGATCTTATGGTGTCATGGCAGAAAGAACAGATAATGACGACCGTCTGTTGCAGCTGTGCTCAGATAACCGCCTATTTCTTGCAAATACTAACTTTAAGCATAAGGAAAAACATCTTTTGACATGGCGACCCCCGAATTCGTCTCAACGTTGGACCCAATTAGATCACATCGCTATCAGTCACCGATGGAGGGGCTCGATAGAAGACTGTCGCTAGAACTGTCCTAGAACATAGACACACATTCAGACGTCCCATAATAGTAGTATTTCTTGACCTTAAGGCGGCATTTGACTCCGTTGATCGTAAGGTTCTATGGCAGTGTTTGTCAGTGAAAGGAGTACCAAAGAAGTACATTAACCTCATAAAGGCCCTCTACTCGAACACAACTGGTCGAGTTAGAGCCTATGGCGAACTGTCATCAGAATTGGTTACCTCAAGTGGTGTTCGTCAGGGCTGTCCACTCTCCCCATTCTTGTTTAACTTTGTTGTTGATATGCTTTTAGAGATATCACTTTCATCATCTCAATCTCCTGGAGTTGAACTTTTACCAGGAGGTTTACTTGTTGACTTAGAATACGCCGACGACATCGTTTTATTCGGTGAAGACTCTGACAAAATGCAGAGTCTTCTGACCACTATAAGCAACAATGCAGGCATGTTCGGGATGCGATTCTCTCCCTTGAAGTGCAAAATGTTACTTCAAGATTGGGTTGCATCGACACCTGAACTAATGATAGGGAGTGAAGTAGTTGAGCGTGTTGACTGCTTCACTTATCTTGGGAGTCTCATCAGCCCTTGTGGTCTGGTGTGTGACGAAATCTCAGCACGGATACAGAAGGTTCGTCTAGCTTTCGCCAACTTGCGTCATTTATGGCGTAGGCGAGATATCCGTCTACCAACCAAAGGACGGGTTTACTGTGCAGCAATCCGTTCCGTTCTACTTTATGGAAGTGAAACATGGCCGATAAGAGTAGAGGATATTCGTAGGCTACTAGTGTTCGATCATAGGTGTCTTCGACGCATTGCTCGTATATCCTGGGACCACCGGGTAAGTAATGCAGATGTTAGGAAACGGGTACTAGGTAAGGGTGGCAAATCGATTGATGAAGTAGTGAAACTTCACCAGTTGAGATGGCTGGGACATGTGTTACGTATGCCCAACCACCGACTGCCTCGTCGTGCAATGCTTTATGGTGTAGGAGCAGGTTGGAAGAAAGCTAGGGGCGGCCAGACCAAAACATGGCATAAATCAATGAAGTCACTGACAAGTGTACTGGGCTGTGTTGGTAGGTGTAGACTACCTGGTTGGGATTCGCGAGATGATAGCAACCGATGGTTAGAGACGCTGAATGACATGGCTCAAAATCGTTTGCAATGGCGCAGGTGCATACACTCTTTGTGTTCTACCAAATTCTAATCTTCTGAATTATTCATGTCTATCTTTTTTCTCTTCCCAAATTTATTTCATTGGATTATACTCCTTCAATAACATCTTCAAACCCTAATCTTTCCGATTACTGCTTATACTCTTACTACTTCTACCAATATGGGATTTGAATCGACAACTTTATCTCTGTGCTAATGTGGTATGGCAACTCGAACTGATGTACGTACGTACGAAGTTCCACGTTGTAACTGACTGACTGTTTACCCATTTGACACTTTAGCTTATTATTCAGTCTTATCGTGATCATCAGTCTAGTTCGATTGATCCAAATGCTAGGAACAAAAAATTGTTAAGCCGTATATTATATGATAAAAAAAACCATAATTTTCATGTGTATTTGTTTAGGTGTTTATGTATGGGTTAAATATTTTTTACTTTTCTTCTATAGTTCTGGATGTTGCGTTCGTAATGATGGTGGTGGTTGTTATCAGACTCATAGAGAAGTGTGCTCTCGTACACTTTCTACATGGCTTCATTATGAAACAGTTAATTTCAGTAATCAACAAACTACAGAATTACTTTCTATCAATGTTGCAGATCGTGAAATTCACGTACATACATTGAGTTCTTATCCTGTAACTAATTCGCACAGTCATAATAATAATATATCAAGTATTATACATTCTCTACGTTCAACACGACTGATTGGTAAAGCTGGACCTGTGTGTGGATTAGATCCAGATTTTTGTGCTCGACCACGTTCTATTGGAGCATTTGCTTGGTCAGAGACAGATGTTACTAAATGGCCTGTAAATGTTAACATATTTTGTCAATTTCTGTTTTTGTTACTCCGTTAATCCCTTTTGAATATAGGTTCTGTACGACAACTTATATCCCTAAGACAATAGCAAACTGACTGATCATCTACCTATCAACTAATGAATACTATACAACCGTTCGTGGAAAAGCACTATACTGCAATGGGTTGTATTCTGTTCCAGATGTTTGAAAGCAATATATGGTACCAAATAATTTGCATTCGAACAACTGGAGTAAATATGTCACTGTGCTTAAAGTTCTCAGTAAATACCACCTTTTGTTAATACTATCCATAAACTGAAGTCAAAGTAAGCGGAAGGATAGTTGATTTAAACCCAGGGACAAAATGATCGAAAGTCAAATGTCTATATCCATTATGCCAGCTAATTTTCAAAATGTAGTTATGTATATTTTACCTGGAGTTCAAACTCAATGGTTAGAACCATTGATATTCTATCATTGCTTAACTCTTTCGAACCCTCTCCACTCAGTAGTATTTGAACAATTCTGTCTACTACAAAATATTTGTACAAGGACTTGTATTTGTATTCACGTCATTATTTGATTATTACGCTAACACTACTTACTTACTTACTTACGCCTGTTACTCCCAAAGGCGAGTATACTGCGCAGCAGTTCGCTGTGTTATAATTTACGGCTGCGAAACGTGGCGATTAAGAGTAGAAGATACTCGTAAGTTACTAGTATTTGACCACAGATGCCTTAGAAATATTGCTCAAATCTGCTGAGATCACCGGCTAAGTAATAGTAAGGTTAGACACAGGGTATTAGGAAATGATAGTAAATTAGTTGATGAGGTCATGAATCTTCATCGACTGAGATGGTTGGGCCACGTGTTACGTATGCCTGAACAACGATTAACACGACGCGCTATGCTGAATAGTATTGGGGATGGTTGGAAGGGAGTTAGGGGCGGCCAAACTAAAACGCGGCTTCAAAGCTTGAAGTCACTGACTTCTAGTCTCAGCCATGTCGGTAGATGCAGACTACTTGGTTGGGGTCTTCATGACTATAGTAACCTATGGTTGGAGACTCTAGGTGACATGGCACAGAATCGATCACAGTGACGTAGGTGTATACACTCTTTATCTTCCCTTAAAACTTGAGATTAAAATTGCTTCATATCTGTCTTCCTTCCTATACTATATTTTTATATGCAAACTTTCCTTTATATATTACCATCACTAAAATAACAACTTCTATGAAGAGGGAACTACCATTGAAAAAACTGGAAAGGTATCAAGGAGGCAATCACTTTAACATGTCAGGAGGTTCTGGGCCACAAGAAGCACCATCACAAGGAATGGATCACTGTTGATACGCTGGATAAGATTGAAGAAGGGAGAAACAAGAAGACAGAAACCAATATCAACCGAAAAAGAGCAGAAAAAGTCAAGACATAAGCCGAATACACAGAGGCAAACAAGCAAGTGAAGAGGAGCATCAGAATAGACAAACGTAAATATGTGGAAGATTTAGCAATGACAGCGGAAAAGGCTGCAAGAGAGGGAAACATGAGACAACTGTATGATACAACAAAGAAACTTGCTGGAAATTGCCGTCAACCAGAAAGACCAGTGAAAAACAAGAAAGGCAAAGTAATCACCAACATTGAAGAAGAACGGAACAGGTGAGTAGAACACTCCCAAGAACTCTTGAATCGGCCAGCTCCTCTGAACCCACCTAACATCGAAGTAGCACCCACGGACCTCCCAATCGATGTTGGCCCATCAACAATTGAAGAGATCAGCATGGCCATCAGACAAATCAAGAGCGGCAAAGCGGGACCAGACAACATCCTGGCAGTAGCACTTGCTTGTTTGCTTCTGTGTATTCGGCTTATGTCTTGACTTTTTCTGCTCTTTTTCGGTTGATATTGGTTTCTGTCTTCTTGTTTCTCCCTTCTTCAATCTTATCCAGCGTATCAACAGTGATCCATTCCTTGTGATGGTGCTTCTTGTGGCCCAGAACCTCCTGACATGTTGAAGTGATTGCCTCCTTGATACCTTTCCAGTTGTTCTACATAGTAGTTCCTTCTCCATTGAGTAGCTCGTGAAAGGCCTGTAACTTATTGTTGAGGGCTATCTTGAATTTATTGAGTTTGTCAGTATCCAGAAGAAAAGCCGTATTAAACGTTTGTGATGTCCGCCGCGTTGTCCAGTGCTTTTTAAGTGTTAATTTTATCTTGGCGACCAGCAAGTGATGATCGGATGTTATATCAGCCCCTCTCCTGGTTCTCACGTCCTTCATCGTCCCCCTTAACTTTTTGTTCATGCAGATATTGTAGATTTGGTTCTGCGTAGTGTGGTCCGGTGAAGTCCATGTGGTTTTGTGAATGCGTTTATGTGGGAATATAGTGCCGCCTGTGACCTGTTTATTCAAGGCACATAGGTTTGCAAATCTCTCATCATTTTAATTCCTTTCTCCCAGTCCATGTCGTCCCATGACGTCTTCGTATCCAGTGTTTTCCATTCCAATCTTGGCATTTAAATCTTCCATCAAAATGGTCAGGTCCTTTCTTGGGCACGTTCCGACGATTGACTGCATCCTATCGTAGAATCTTTAACATCTTCATTGTAGTCGTTGGTAGGCTCATAGCATTGGATGACGTTCATTGTAATGCTTTTTTTCTTTGTTTTGAAGGAGGCTTTGATGATCCTTGGTCCATGAGATTCCCATTCAATATGTGCATTTTGTGCTTGTTTGGACAGCATCAATGCAACTGTTTGTGTATGTGGGGCATTTCCCTCTCCATGGCCAGAGTATAACAGAAGCTCCCCTGAAGATAGTCGTTGTTATCCAACCTGCGTCTAGTGTGTTTCACTGATCCTAAGCACCTGCAAGTTGTATCTCCTAATTTCTGCAGCGACTTGGAAGACTGTCCCGGTCTCGCACATTGTACGAGCATTCCATGTGTCTATAAAAGTTGTTGCTCTGGTTGTTAGAAGAGGCATCGTCCTCGTGGTTTCCAAAGGAACTCGGCTTTCACCATGATGCGTCATAACTCTAAATGAAGATCGTTTGACTCCCAGGGCGGAGTTCAAATGGTTTGAATACATTTTTCTGGTTAGCGTTTTTTTGGCGAGTTAGTTTTCTTCGGGATGGAGTCGCTAACCCTATGCCCAACCCTCCTCCTTTATACGGGCTTCGGACCGGCAGTAGCCCCCGGAGGGGCTGCAGGCGTAGTCATGCTAACAATTAAGTAATTTTAATCACATTCAAACTTGTCTTATATTTTCATACATTGGAAATTAAAAGATGATCTGAGAAACAATAGTTATTTCCATTTGATAGTGATCATCAAATATTGAATTAACTAGTCACTGAAGCTTTAGGTGGCAATGACAATGCATTAATGTGTTATGAATGTCTCGTTCATTTTAGATTTGTGAATTACCTGATACTGTACCGAATATGGGTGGTTATGCACCACATATGGAATGTCAAGTAACTGGTCATCCATGTTGTTTAGGCATAAAAGGTGAATGCATTATGACTACACAAGAACATTGTGATTTTGTTCGAGGCTTTTATTATCCAAATGCTGCATTATGTTCACAAGTAAATAAATTCAACTTGATAATAATGACAATTCTTTTTGAAAAGTAAAATTGTTTCGTTTTATCCTCTCTCCCATGTATTACAGCAGGATAATTTATTTTCTCGAAATCCATACAAAAACTTGAACGTTCAATAAGACATAGTCCATTCTCCCACATGTTCAACAACAGCACAAATTGAAGAAACGAACAAAATGAAGTTTTCCAAACCCTTTGTGTAGCAATGTAAGAATGTTTGAGATTTGTTTCTTCACTAAGTATAAAATATTACATCAGGACTGATCTATGTCAACCCATATTTTGACCGTTGGGAATAGGTTAGCCCAGCATTTTATCTTTTAATGTGATGAGTTAAATGTTGCTGAATTCTGGGCACAGATTTAAGAAGCTCGCTTTCTATTTACTAGTATGCACCCATCTTTGGGAAAGACAAAATATTCGATTGTTTGTCATAAAGAAGAAGCGGTTCCATCTGTATTACTCTAAGACTGTGGGATAGGGTTGATGAAAGCAAAAAACTCGCGTAGTTTGTAATTTTTTGATTAAAAGTGTCTACAAAATGTTTCTTACATCTAGTGAAATTACTAAGTGCGTAATTCTGAGTTAGGTGTACTATTTCATTTAGAAATGAAAAGTTGATTAATGAGGCTGTAGTTCATTATTCGTTGGGTGTCTGGGATGTTGGCTACGTCTCCCTTACTTTTTTAGTCTGACTTTTCTTGAATTCCTTCATAGTAATTGGGTTTGTTTGCTCTCTTATCTACACACATCTCATCAGTTGAACTTATTTATTGATTTATTTGGTCATTACTAATACTAATTACCACTTTTCTCCGGTTTTAGGTGAATTGTTTGAATCAAATTTGTGGTATGTCACCTTTCACAAATAATGAATATCCAAATCAAATGTATCGAATATTCACTTCATTATTTCTTCATGCTGGGTAAGGTTTTATCGTCATTTTTTTCTTTCAAATTATTTAATTTGTTTAAATATATATGTATATGAAAATACTTTCTATCGAGAACTGACATCCATATGAGGAATCATTGAAAATCGGAATGTTCCAGACAACTACTTTGTCTTACGTACTCGTTTCTCTTTATGTCCCAGAAAGAAATTGTGATCATTGCGGTTCAGCCGAGTTAGGTAAGAGACTTATATCACTAATGGTACTGGATGGCGTTCGCTTTGTATCGTAAATTAATTAAAGTTAGAGATGTAAACAATCGAATAATAACTTGGGTTTTTAGAGGCATCTTGATCCCTTGGACGTATGAAAGTCTTTGGCTCGATTTTCTAATCTGATTGCTCACTGTTGGGGTATCTGTCTTTGGGATAAAACATTCGCATACTTTCTTATTAGTGCTGTTTATCTCAAATGAACTAAAGAGCAGCATCCGAATTGATAAGATGTTGTACATAAAAGCTTATGATTGCCATCTAACACGAGATTATTGTCTAGGATTTTATGTTGATTGCCTCCTGTCGCCTAACAATTATTATTTTCAAAGAACTCGTGACCAAATAAATAAATAACGCAGTTTTATTCACTAGACAAAATAAGCAGACTAATGCTACCGTTGACTGATTTGACTTACTTTATTCATAATAGTGTGCAAATATGAAGTCGGATTGGTAAGAGTCAATGGCGTAGACCTACAAACTGAAGACGTAGTTAAGCAAAAAGAGTCAGTCGTCTTATCTTAATCTGACATCATGATCCAAATGCTTTGAGCAAAGATTGTAGGCCGTGGTTTTATTCTTGGTAACCTTTTGTAGCACCAAGACCTACCTTTCAATTGTAGACAAAATCACGATTCTTCCGAACTGATAACATTGTTCGTTCACCATCCGGACTGTAAGAGTTTAATGATTTTTGGGGACTATGTTCATATCACATGGTCATATCACGTAACGGCTTAAAAAAGTAAAAAAAAGTCAACTTATTTCTGAACACTTTTTTCATCCATGTACTATCAATCTTTTTCTAGTGTATTACATTTAATCTTGACGCTTGGTGTCCAAATGATTTTTATGCGAGATTTAGAAAAAATGATTGGTTGGCATCGTATCACTTTAGTGTATATTTTATCCGGTTGTATTGGAAGCTTAACATCTGGAATATTTTTACCGTATCAAGTAAGTTATTTGATTTGTTTAATAAATGGGTGTAAACCATGAATTGTTTGAAATCATTGAAAATATAAATAAATAATGAAAAGGATTTGTAGCTCAAGTGGATGCTTTTGATAATGTTATGTACTCTGAGCTGGATAGTTTTATTCCGAAACTTTCGTTGTCTCTTTTGACCATACCACCAATTCCTCCTTCACTTAGGAGTGTGCTTTTTGATTATTTCATGAGCATTAAATCATTCTATCATAATGGCTATCCACCAATCAGGCAAGAGCAAAAGAAAAAATAAAGTTTCTAAGGATGTGAAATTTAGTCAGTTTACTATATGACCGTTTGTCTCCACGACCAAACAAAAACGTAGTTTTAAATGTTGAATGAAAAGCTTAGGTAATTTTTTCAAATTCGGTAACAGTTCGCTTTACATTTTACCTCAATTATTTGATCCTATCTGTTTCAAATAGTAAGGGACGGATTAATTTTTCTAGAAATACGTTTGTGTGTTGGAGTTCCAACAGTAAAAAGAGTTTCTTAAATAAATTTAGGTGACCACAATTGTGATCTTTATTAAACGGAATTATGACTTTTTCATAGTTGAAATCATGAGTCCATTGATGTTAGACCACCAAGGAAAACCAGGAAACGCTGGACGGCCGTTTCGTCCTATTGTGAAACTCCTCAGCAATGCGCATCCACGATCCCGCCTCGCAAGATTCGAACCCAAGACCTACTGTAGTGTGGTCCACTTATATCCATATAAGTAGTATATGGCGATGGTTAGACATAGAATGTATTTTGGCAGAAGCCCGACAAGGAAAAAACTGAAATGAGGCGCAATTGGTAGGAAGATGCATGAACAATAAAATTAGAGAAGATGGAGTGATATTTACAGAAGGAATAGTGAAGATTGAGACAATTGATTGTTAATTTGCAAATTAATTGTTTGCTCTATGGTTATCAGAATTTGGTGAGATAGTCTGTAATTAGTGTTTAGATACATTCGATTGTCCCCAACTAGTATTTTGTTCATTACACTACCAGTTTCGCGCCAGAGCACTTCACCGATAGACCACTGAGCCGGCATCCAACGGTGTTAATGTCTAACTTTAACCAATTCACGAAGATTGAGCAACCGTTCACCAATTGTCTTCAATGAGTTGTTATCTGACAACACACGTGGTTGAACTCCACTGGTCTCTGCTTCCCACTAGAATTATGACTAATTAATTATATTGAAAATGTAATCCTATGTAAAATAAGCTTCTATTTGTTTAAAAAAATAATTAATTATTTGATGAGTTCAAAATGCGGCAACGAATGACGTCCCAGATTAAATTTATTTTACCTCATTGGTATAAAGTGAGAATATGTAAAAATTAACGAGGTAATTAACTTCTTGATATTTAGTTGTTCTATTACTTTAGAAAAAAAAAGAAGTAAATAATGACAATATGACTTAGAGATGTACAGAATATTGTACATTGAGGTGTAGGTCGAATTATCATACGAATTATGAAGTTGTTACAAAACAGGCAACAGATCGATAACCAAGTATTCTAGTTTTATAGTAAATAACTTAACTTTACAGATCTAGACATAATAAACTATTATGAATAAAAAATTACGGGATCGTGGATGCGCACTGCTGAGTAGTCCCATAATAGGAAGAAAAGGCCGTCCAGTGCTTCCAGGTTTTTGATGGTGGTCTAGCTTCAATTGACTCATGATTTCAACTATGAAAATACTAAATTCTCCACATAACCCCCTCTGATCTATTATGAAAACGTAAAATGATATTCCACCTTTGCATTTTTATTAAACTAGATAAAATCCCTTTTTGATTGTTTATATTTATTTAGTAAATATAGTAGTGGGATTATTTTATTGTATCAATGGATCGTACATTTAAGTGTAAGATTTATTGACGGAAAGATGTGCGGTCTGAGTTCTAAACGTCTTGACTGCTTGGAATCTTATCCAATTGGCTAGGTGTTAACTTCTCTAAACTAAAATACCACAACAGTTCAAGTAATTTTTTTTAAAAATTTAATTGTTCACTAGACCTATCGATTTCATACTCACAATTTTAATGAGAATTTGATTAGCTAACTGGTGTAAAGTTAAAATTGAGCCGGCTACACTGATGTATGCTTTGCTTCCTATGGACGAATGACATATATGGTTGTCACCCACTCGATAATCACCCAAAATGACTAATCTAGCACACATTAAACCAATTTAGATGAAGAATACGTCATTAGTCTGACTAAAACGTATCGTGTTATAACAATTAGCAAGGTTATTGTTATATCCCGATAACAATAGTGAATGGTAACTTTGGGATCCATGTATGAACCCATATTATGCATATAACTTTTATCGTATATTTGCTAAATAATTAAACTACTTATATTCATGTTCCTTGCATTGTGAGATTTATTTTGACCCTTGGACTATTATTGTACGATTTACCATTCTTGAGTTATCCCCAGTCTATTGATTACTGTTTCCCCTATTCACAGCCACATTTGGCTGAATCTTGTACAAATGTTATTTTCTATTGTATGGTACTATGTGGTCTGCTTGATTGGTATATAAACTCAGCATGTATGAAATACAATGATTCATACCACTGAGGCTGTTATTGGTGTTTTGGACTTAACTGGCTGAGCTAAGCAGAAACAGGACCGACAAGTGCTCTAGACTGCTCGTACGGTTTTCGTGTGTCACTGTTTCAATCGATAATTTGCTGCTCTCTGATTGGCGGTCTTATCACGTCATACATTAGCAAGGCATTCACTCGGCCACAAGATATAACAGTTATGAAATTAGTTGATACAATGCACAAGTTTCGTCGTACTCATCCACGGCCCAGATATATGATTCATTTCGTTGATTACATAACTACAAGTATAAATGAGTAAATTAAAGTTATTGAAGTATACATCTAGTTAGAATAGTCGAATAGTGTATTGTGATGCTAACTCAAAACCAGTTGGAGATTGATTCAAAAAAATAATTCAATAATTAAACGTCAATCGTTGTTGGGATCATTTAATGAGGTGTATTTTCTAATCAATAGTTGCCAAGGTGTAGCAAACTAAATTGCATTGTTTTTTATTCAAATTGTTTGGATCCACTCATATATACAAAGTTTCATCAATTAATCTCTATCGAAAGCATTCGATCAGCACTAAGAAGGACTTGACACGCATGACATTGATCACCACCCAGTGATCAATCAGTCGTGATTACATCTCAGTCCCACAGGAGGTCAGTCGCGGACCGACTAGCTCAGTGGCAACGTCTCTGACTGTGAAGCTGAGTGACACGGGTTCGAATCCGTCAGGGAGCACCAGTTCCCTCAAGATTACAGGTACACCTTGCTGACGAGTGCCAAGTAGCACGAAACTCGGGTCCAGGGTTTCCTGTCGACCACCTCCAACCACCATCTTATCTCAACAAAGTGCACGCAGTGTCGAGTCATCTAGACTAATGGCCACATTGCAACTTAATCGATAGCATTCGATCAGCACTAAGCTATAAAATTTTTCCGAAGTATTTTGCTTCCGTCAAAGTCATTCATGCCCTCAATCTGTTTTCAATCTAGAGATGTATTTCTCTTTTTAATAAAATCATTATCATTACTATTATTATCAATAAATCGGTCAAATTAGTTCCTTTCGATTGTTTTCTTACCATCCCGAACTTTTCTTTTCCTTAGGTAGAAACTGGACCTACAGGTGCACAATTCGCTTTACTCGGTATCTCATTAGTTGATTTAATACATTGTTGGCAATTTTTAGCACATCCATGGTATGCATTACTAAGAAATATTTTATTAGTATTTATATTATTCACATTTGGTTTATTACCATGGATTGATAATTATGCAAATGCTGGTAGTTTTCTATCAGGTATACTATTATCTTTTATTTTATTACCATTTCGTGGTTTTATTTATCCATCTATATCTCTTACTACATCAATAGCCACGTCTGTTAATCAAAATATATTTGATAATAATAATAATTATAATTCACCTATCACATCACCAACAACAACACCGTCGATTATGTTTAATTTCAATTTTCCTGATATAAATCGTAAAAGTTGTACATCATTACAGCATCATCATCTTCCTTCCATGCATCCACAACCTCTTCAACAACAAAACCCTTCTAAATGTCATCATCGTTGTTTTATTATCATATTATGTTCTATTCTATGGTTAATATTATGTATTAGCTTAATTCTTATATTTATTTGGGGTCCAATTATTAATTGTCAATATTGTAATTATTTTACATGTTTACCATTGACTAAAAATTTTTGTGATAATTTACAAGTAAATGTAAAACAACGATCTGATTGTATTTTACCAAATTGGATTTAAATAATGAATTTTATTGATCAGAAGGGGGTTTTGTGGAGATTTTTTTTAGTATTTTCATAGTTGAAATCATGAGTCAATTGAAGCTAGGTCACCATGGAAAACCTGGAAATATTGGACGAACGTTTCGCCCTACTATGGGACTTCTCAGCAGCGCGCATCCACGATCCCGCACCCGCGAGATTGGAGTTCAAGCCACGTCTGTTGTGAGATAGGAACTCACTGAAGACAATTGGTGAACGGTAACTCAAACATCGTGGATTGGTAGAAGTTAGACATTAACACCGTTGGATGCCGGCTCAGTGGTCTATCGGTTAAGTGCTCTGGTGCGAGACTAGTAGGTCCTAAGTTCGAATCCCGCGAGTGCGGAATCGTGGATGCGCACTAATGGGGAGTCCCATAATAGGATGAAACGGCCGTCCAGTGCTTCCAGGTTTTCGATGGTGGTCTAACTTCAATTGACTTATGATTCCAACTATGAAAATTAGTTTTGTGTTTATTTCTAATAAAAATTTTACATCATTCTAATGAAATGAAATTTTTTAAATGTATATTTTCATTATGCAATTTTTTCAGTTTGCAATATTGATCTATTAAGCATATATCATAAAGTTTTTACAGATACATTAAGGTTATTTTATTAAAATAAATTATTTTTGGGAACCAATTTTCTTTAGGTTTCTCTTTGTGTGTGTGTGTGTGTGTGTGTGTGAAGAAACATCACTTTTGTTTGTATTATGGAATATTGAGTGTATAAATGTGAGGATGCTCCACAGGTGAAGTTGATGAAGCTCTGAGAAGCCCAGAAGCAGCCAGACATCTTACATCCAATCAGCTTTGGGAAGAATATTCTAGAATCACTACGTATAGCTTCCCTATTAGACAATGCCGATAACTCCCTGTGTGCCGATTGGATAACTACAATGATGATTCCATTTTTACTAAAAATTATAAATACATGATAGTTTTGTACCATAATCGACACTGGTTGGAATAACATTCCTTCTACTTGTCTTCTGTCTTCTGATTTGTGACTTGGGAGGGTTCTAGCGTTTGGGTGCTCAATTATTACGCGACAGACTAAGACTCTAAGTTCGAGATATAACAATGAATAAATTTCACATATCAGATTTTGATTGTTTTTGTCACTGTAATCTCTTGAATATAAAATTTAAGTTCTTGTCAAACTGGATGAGTATTGTTGTCATTTCATTCTTTACATTTTCTCACATTCAAAACTGTAGGTATATTATAGGGGAAATATTCAATACTGATAATATTTCACAATTGAAATGACAGATTGTGATTACTTCATAAAAAGATACAATATATGTATTTTAAAACTGTAAAATCAATCTATTTTAGGGCAACATTTTTACGAATGCTAGTTGTTAACTGAGATACTTACAACAACCCACGGAATATAGATAAAATGTACGTACTTCTGAGTAAATGTTGTGGTATTGTGGTGTGGTCTACTTATATCCATATAGGTAGCATATGGCGATGGTCAGACATAGAATGTATTTTGGCAGAAGCCGGACAAGGAAAGAACTGAAATGAAGCCTGATTGGTAGGGAAATACATAAAAAAGGAAATTAGAGAAGATGGAGTGATATTTACAGAAGGAACAGTGAAGATTGAGACTATTGATTGTTCTTTTGCAAATTAAACGTTTGTTGTATGGTTATCAGATCTTAGTAAGATAGTTTGTAATTTGTGCTTAAATAAATTCGATTGTCTCCACCGGTGTTCTGTTCACCACAGTATTATCCAATGATAAGTTGGTTTCATTAATGTTAAACTAATTACTATGTCAATGGTAAATTTATGTCAAACGGAAGTGGACTTGCTAATTTCGTCCTAATCATTTGTATATAAATTGTAATCAACAACGAGATTTTTATGTTAAACGGTCTTCTCATTATACATCTTTTTATTTGTGCAATAGTTAACAAGTAATAAGTCATAAACGTTTTTTTTAATTTTATATGATTTATAAGTCTAGTCAATAAGCCCACCTTTAGGTTACATTCGAATTTGTTGTTTTCCGAACAATTTGAAAATTACTACATATAGCTGGAAAGAAACTTAGTTTCGTGGCCACATGATTGATAATACTTACTCACCTACGCTTGTTACTCCTCATGGAAGAGGATAAGCGCACACCAGCATTCTCCATCAAACTCTGTCCTGAACAGTCCTTCCCAATTGCTATTCATCCTTTTGATTTCTTCGAATTCCCTGTGCAATATGGTCTTCGGTATTCCTCTTTTCCGCTTCCCTACAGGATTCTAAGTTAGCATTCGATGCGCGATGCAGTTTGGTGATTTCTTCAATGTATATCCTATCCACCTCCAGCGTCTTTCCCTAATTTCCTCTTCAACTGGAAGCTGGTTTGTTCTCTCCCACAGTAGACTTTTGCTGATGGTATCCGGTCAACGGACATTGGGTGTCTTGCGTAGACAGTTGTTTGTAAACACTTGTACTCCTTTGGTGATGGTTGTAGCAGTTCTCAAAGCTTCAGCTTCGTACAGTAGAACTGTCTTGACGTTCGTGTTACAGATTCTGACTTTGATGTTGGTTGATAGCTGTTTTGAGTTCCGTATGTTCTTCAACTGTAGGAATGCTACCCTTAACTTCCACATCCTTGCCTTTACATCTACATCAGATCCTCCTTGTTCATCGATGATTCTTCTCAGGTACCACCTCTTCCAGAGTTCCTCGATCATGTGTGATTAGTTTGGTGTTCTCTGTGTTACATTTTAGGATCTTGCTTTTTCCCATGTGTATTTTGTGGTGTACTGCTGTAGAGATGCTGCTATATTGTCTATGTTCATTTGGCTTTGTTGGTGTGTATAGGATAGAAGAGCCAGGTGATCTGAGAAGTACAAATTGTCTATTTGCATGTGAGCTATCCGTTATATTCCGTGCTTGCCACTGGTGTGGAGGTCTCCATAATCCATTCAACAAAAGGGTGAGTTAGCAACATTTTCTGACCCACATACTTAGTAATATTGATTATTATTCGTTTTAAGTTTTTTTCCCAGTATTATGCCTTCCAATCTTCTTTAGTTGAGCCTCAGTCAGTTACAACGTAGTACTTTGTACGTACGTACATCAGTTCGAGTTGCCATACCACATTAGCACAGAGATGCAGTTGTCGATTCAAATCCCATAGTAATAGAAGTAGTAAGTGTATAAGCAGTGGTCGAAAAGATTAAGGTTTAAAGATGTTATTCAAGAAGTATAATCCAGTGAAATTTGGAAAGAGAAAAAAGATAGGGACATGAAGTTTATTTATTTTTATTATTTAAACACATAAATATTGGTACAAGGAAGCACCAGATACATATGCGCCGTACAAATCTCATTTGATTTGTGTGAGGGCTGTGATACTGTTCAGGTGCCAAAACTGAAGCAGGTGGTTTTCTTAGGGGACCACAGCCGGAGGGACATGAAGAGATGCAGTTTTCTATTTAAATCCTATAGAGGTAGAAAAAGTATTAGCTGTAAAATCAGTGAAATAAATTTGGAAAGAGAAAAAGGATAGGGACATGAAGAATTCAGAAGATTAGAATTTGGCATAACAAAGAGTGGATTCACCTTCGCCATTGCAAACGATTTTGAGCCATGTCATTCAACGTCTCTAACCCTCGATTTCTATCATCTCACGGATCCCAACCAGGTAGTCTACACCTACCAACATGGCTCAGTCCACTTGTCAGTGACTTCATGGATTAATTTGATCCTAGTAACGATTGTTATTTTATTTAGAGTATAATAATATTAATAAATAGTTTTACAGATTATTAAAACTTTTATATTTTTAATTAATATAATTAAACTGAGTCAGAGTTTTCATGATTGAATTACTTTGTTATAAGAGAATATATCCTTCGCTATTCATAGATAATCGATGTAAAAATTGTATTTGAAATAGTCGCATCGCTAGTGTATAACGAATGCTTGTCCAAACACGTTCAGATGCTTTTTTGTAGAGTATGCAAGTGAAAGATGGGTTTGATGAACTATTTGAACAGTCGAAAAATATATTTATCTCCAACAGAATACTATCCTACTATTCACTGTCACCACGTATGATTATTGTTATCCTGTTTACTTCTACTTTTTAATAAGCAGAACGATTACTATGTCATCTTATAATAATCTACTGGTATAGACATCTCGCATGTTGCATTTTGTTGTCATTCCGAAACAAATGATAATCATTCTCACTAAGCACAAGATTAACTGTTGGACAAGGATTTACTACTGAACTATTTGAAACCTTATTCATCTTTAAATTCATTTAGTGTTGTTTGTTTGAATCTTCCCATCGATGTGTTAGGACTACAACTGGTCAGTCTCTAATTGGCATATGTGTATATTCATCTTTGATAATTAAAATTTTGAGGAATAAATCCTAAAGCATTTATTTTTCTAAGTGGTTGAAGGGACAGACTTTTTATAAAACTGGCATTCCGACCATCCAATGAAAATCATCCATTTTCTATGGGATACAACCAATCAAATTGCAATAAAAGAAGGAGAATATTAGTCAAACTGCGACTTTATTCTTGTTCTGTATCACATAATAAGAAAGTGAGATCGAACCAATCACATGAGTTCGTTTCTAAATAAATAAAAAGGGTAGAAACTGACAAATTTTATTCCTCATTACGCCGTCCCGTAGGAATTGTATCAGCCCCCCAAGAGCTATCTCCCATTCGCATCTATAAACTCCTGCAGCTCTGTTCTGTTTATTCTAGCCGATAATTAGTCTTTGTCTACTCTCATTGACTACATTCGATTCTTGTTGTAGATTCGGCAAATTATCCACCATGAACCACTACAATCGGAGGTCGTCATTTTAATATTTAAATAAGATTTCTATCGAATTAATATCGATTCATTTCGCGTTTACATTGTGATCCATTTGCACATCATTTTATTTCGGTCTTGATGTCTTCAAATAGCCTTAAAACTCCTGACAACTGCAAGCAGTCACATTATTTCAACGCATTAGTTTTACTTAAAAACAAAAATTCAATGTTCAATCAACCAATTACTATTGGCTGTTTTTCCTAGACTATTAAAATCAGTCAGTGATCTTGAGTGCTGTTAGAGGTATGAGGGTGGTTGTCACTTCCCGGTTGCTCACACCGTGGAAGGGTTCCTCTAGAGGTACCTGAAAAGTAAATCGGGTTAGAAGTGGTCTTAATGACCTGAGAGCGTGACCGCAGTGCCCAAGGACAAACTGCTTGAGGTCGGTCACACACGACCTTTTTGTGGGTAGTTTTTGTGTTAGCTCTGTTCTTTAAAGGACCTTACCACCGGAGACGGAAATCCGTGGGATAAGGCGAGGTGTGCATGTTTAGGGTCGACCTTTCTAACTTCACTCCTCCTTGTGGGAAGGCAGCATCGCCGTTATGTTGGTTGTCTGAAGGAAACACTTTACTGCCGTCACACCTCTTCATACGACCTGCCTGGCATGGTAGGACCTTGAGGAACGATTGTTCCAGCCAGTATAGCTCGATTGGTTCATCACGATAGGTAAGCCCGACCACCATGTCAAGGTAGCAGCAACGGTCGGGGACTAGTAAAATAAATTTCTGTGATTCATTTAAATTGTTAATATAGAAAATAAGTAATTAAGTAATTACACTGGTGCGGAGTCTCATACTAAGACGAAACGGCTATCCAGTGCTTCTAGGTTTCTAATGATGGTCCAACAGTCATCCATTCATGATACCAATTTAAAATAAATAGTTGTTTAGAGATTGTATTTTGCTCAGTAATCACATAAAAATAATTGTAATCAGAAAATAATAGAAAACGACGACCAATGTATAAAATTAACAAGCTTAAAAAAGACGCTAAACAAAGCTAAGCATCACAATTGAATCAGTTTATGTATTAAAAAATTGCACAATTTCAATAAGAGTCAATAATCGTGTGAATAAACGTTTAGCAATAATAGTGTAAACAGTTCTTGAGCATTCTTCTACACGTTGAACTGAATCATAAAATGATTGCCATAGTTTTTGATCTTGTATACACATTGTACCACCGCCACGTTCAAATTGATGAGGCTGAAGTTAAAATAATCATACGATGGGGGAAAGAAAAGCAACACAATTTTGGTTTAAGATTTGTAAACTTTAGACTCATTTAAATATTATAATTTACGAATATTTTAAAGGTACCAGGTAAAATACACTAATCTATGGCAAAAGACAACTATTAATTCTTAATCTCAATATACTAGGCTAAGAGTGAGTCTATTCGTCTTACACAAAAATCAAACAATATTGCAGTCTAGTTATCCAAAGTGAATACACTGCACCTAGATAGAAAAAAAAATTTGACTGACAGTACAAGTTAAACAAGAGAAAAATGTTGATTTGTGACTGCTGTTTACACTGACGTTGAGAAAATTTAAGTTCACAACGTCCATTGTATTGTGTACATCTCTTGAAATCTGAAATTCCTCATAATTCAGTCAATAGTAAGAAGAAATAGAAAAGGCGAGAGTAAACAACCTTGTCTGAAACCAGTCTTCACTCGAGATGCGTTTGTTAGCTGTTCTCCATGCACGACTTCGACGTTCAGTCCCTCGTATGAGTTCTTTATGGTGGTGACGATCTTCTCAAGCACTCCACAGTGTTGAATAACATCTCACAAGGTCCTCTTATCCACTTTTTTGAGTGATTCTTCGAAGTCAAGGAAGTTGATGTATATCTGTGAGTTCCATCTAATCGATTGATCAACAATGATTCACAGTGTTGCAATTTAGTCTGTACATGATCTATCCCTACAAAATCCAGCTTGTTTATGCTAAATTTGGATGTCTACTGAATCCTTCATTCGGTCTGGCAACACTGTTGGAAACCTTGCCTGGTACTGACAGTAATATGATGCCTCCTATCCTTAGTATGATCTCCTCTCCTTGGCATCTTAATCAGGTGTCCCTCTTTCCAGTCTGTTGGTACTTGTTCTTCTTTCAAAATCTTTCCGAACGGCATGTGGAACAGCTTTGCAGTGACATATATGTCTGACGTCAGTGCTTGAGCTTGTGTACTGCCTGATTCTGTCGCCTTTACACTCTTGAGTTGTCAGATGACCCTGTTGATTTCCTCCATATTTGGTGGGTTGATATTCATAAGAAGGTCTTTATGTGTTGCTTCGATATCCGGTGGGTTCAGGGGCACTAGTCTATTCGGGTGCACTTCACATTATTCTACCCATCTATTTCGCTGCTCTGGAACCTCACTGATTGTTCTTCCTCTTTTTTTCATGACTGGTCGCTCTGGTCTATCATGTTTCGCTCTAAGCTTCCTGTTTCTGTTATAACGTTTCCACATAATTCCTTCTCTTGCACCTTTTCCTGTTGTCGTTGCTCGTTCTTTTACTATTGTTTCCACTCGCCAGATCTTGCACTTTCCTTCACTCGTTTTTCTGTTTCTATATATTCAGCCTATTCTTTGACCTTCTCTGCTTTCGTCCGGTTGTTGTCGATTGCTGTCTTCTTGTTTATCCTTTCTTGAATCTCGACCAGGCTGTCTACGGAGATCCACTCATTATTTTGATGATTTTCGGATCTATAACCTCGTGACATTTTGAAGTTATTGCTGCCTTGTTATCTCTCCAATCGCGCTCTACATAGCTTTCCATTTCTTCTAGTATAATGAACAAAACACTGGTTGGAGCAATCGAATGTATTTAAACACAAATTACAGACTAATTCACTGAATTCCGATAACCATACAACAAACAGTTAATTTGAGAAGTAACAACCAATTGTCTCAATCTTGACTGTTACTTCCGTAAATATCACTCCATCTTCTCTAAATTCATTGTTTGTGCATTTTCCTAACAATTACGCTTCATTTCAGTTATTTCCTTATCGGTCTTCTGCCAAAATACATTCTATGTCTGACCATCACCATATACTAATTATATGGATATAAGTAGACCACACCACACCAGTAGATGTTGTAGGGATTGGAACCTGTTGCTGTGATCTGATTTGAACTAGCCGAGTTTGTTAGGATTTTGAATGAAATTCGCATTACACTTTCACTATTGTTATTATTCAAATGGAAACGTTTAACTCCTAACGCTATAAAATTTACCACTATGATATCTATTACAACACGTCGACATGATTGGTGAGAATACATTTACTTAGTTGATAGAATTCAATCATCATTCAATAAGTCAGTTATGCCCTACATAGTACTTAATACATTTGTATATCGGTCCATATCGTCATACTCCAGAAGTAAATACTAGACAAATATGATATTAACTAATACTCAAAGATCAATTAATGCATAAATCATAATCTCACTTGATATTAAGTTAGATTCCAAAGTGAAATAAAACTGTTATTTTCTACAAACCCATCAGGGTCATTCATTTTAATTGATATGTATTGTAAGAAGATTCTAATTTTTTTCAATGATATCAATCAATTAAATTCCTCTGTCTCATAAGATATTTATACCAGATTTCGTCTAAATCGAATGAATATTCACTTTTATTAAGCAAACCATATTTTCGCTTGTGAAGAAAGTATAATTATTCTTCACTTAGTATTGTTTGTTTGAATCTTCCCATTGATGTGTTAGGACTGAAACTTGTCAGTTTCATCTTTGCTTACCATGCTTGTGAATTAAGGCTATATCGAGGCAATACGCACAGTATGCACATATGCCAATCAGAGACATCAATGGGAAGATCCAAGCAAACAATACTAAGTAAATTTAAACTTCACCCCATTGCACAAGCAAGTGGCTATCAGGACTCAGTGGCCGAGTGGATAACGCTATTGCGTTTGAAGCGAAAGGTACTGGGTTCGAGGCGCAGAGTGAACATTAACCCAGAGATGCAGATATATTCAGCTGCCGAGTTCTAAATAGGACGAAATGCGCGTCCTGGATCCTACTGCTAGCCACTATTCATCCATAATTACTCTTGTTCACAAATATAAGTTGTTACATAGGGCATACTGTTAAATGGTTCCCGTTTTTGACCGACAGTAATCAATGTATTGATCACATAAGGATAAAATATAATGTTCAATAATCTATTTAGTGTTTACCTGTCGATTAATGTCACCAAGACAAATCCAATTATTTGTATCTTCAGTTGGTTTTTTTGAGGGCACAGTAACAGCCCATTTTGCATGATCTTGCGCATTCCGTATTGTGGTTCCAGTAGCTCTAATGTAAATAGATTCAATATTTTTCACCTATATATATATAGAAAAAGTAAAACAGAATAGTAAGAGAAAAGAAACAAACGAATATATACATGCTGAACAAGGCATAAACTATTGTTTTTATAAAAAAAATAATTTTTTTGTGATCCGAAAACAGAATCTCACGCGATTCCTACCGCATCATCTGATAGGATGAGTGAAATAACAATAAGCACTAACTGGATTATTACATTATGTCCCATATTTTTTATAATCGAAATTTGATAAACAGAAAGTTGGACTTTTCACTTGAACTCTTCAAGGTCAATAATAATCAACGCTCAATATCACTAACTGAATTTTGAACCAGCTACTGAAGAGGCTTGGTCATACATTCTGTTTTACTGATTCCTTCTACCCCGCTGTATTTAAAAACTTATACTGCTAACATGTAGGTCCTTTGTTATTGTTGCATAAAATAGGAAATATAAGAGCTTGGATAACAGATTAGGATGGTTTGGGCTTAAAGAAAAGCATCTCGAGTATCTACACAACCCCAGTCAACCAAAATATTATATTCATTGTGCAGTTTCAGTTTCTAGAGCACCTGTCAGATATGTTGATTGAATAAAGTTAACCTTCTCAAAAAGTCATAAATTACGAAAGCTTAATTTAGTCTATCTCAATTGTTATATCCCCTGGTGAATTATGAATGGTAACTCTAAGGACTATTTATGGACCAATGTAATATGCCTATTTCCTATTGTACAATTATTACGTAACTGAACTATTCATATTCGTATTTCTCTTATCATTAGCTATATTTTGACCTTTGACTTATTATAATACGATTCTTGAGTTATAATCAGTTTATTGATTACTTTGGTTTGTATAAAAACCCAGTATGTTTGTAAATAATGATTCATATTGCCGAGGCTGTTATTTGTGTTCTGGACTTAACTGGCTGGGCTAGGCAGATAAGAAGGACCAAATAGCTCGTACGATTTCAAGTATCATTTGCGTCCGATCAATAAAATCCACTACCTCTCTAATTGCACATTCATATATATTACGAGTTCATACGTTATAACATCAATACAATAGGCAATTAAGAATCTGAATAAAATGTTAGTATCACTGGAATTATATATCACATTATAAAAAACAGGGTATTTATTGTTTTAAATACAGGCAAAATTAATCAAATAACATCTTTTCTCGACAAATTTATTTCTAGTGATGTACAGCCTCTAACATGTACTTCGTAGCAGTTTCTTCATACTCGCTTCGACGGTACATATACAAAAAGTGGGAAGACACACAGATGACTAGCATATCATTGCTCAAAAATGACTTGTTAAACGTGAAGTGATGCAAAATTTTGTCTTCGTCACTAGCACGCTTGTGTTTCTGCCAGACTAAAGCTCGGGTAAGAGAAAAATGCAAGCGTAGCTTTAGTAACCTTACCTGGAAAAGCGACCTCAATAAATTCCCTAGCTATAATAAACAAATAGGTTCATTTAACCACTGTTATGGGAAATAAAGAGTTATCACTTAGAAGAGTTATGACGCCTCATGATGGAAGCCGAGATTCTTCGGGAATAACGAGACCGGTGCGTCGACTGACCACCAAAACAACACGGAACATTTAAAAAATATTTTAGATAGGAAGTTCCATTCAAATAGAGATGGAAATGAGAAGCAACAACATGACTCTGCTTGAAATAAGTGAAATTCATTGTACACAACCTAGATAAAAGAGATTAATTTTATGAGGGCAATTGCTGTATTCTGCTCAAGAAGAAAATGACCCACGCGTACAACAAGTTACACTAATCCCATTCAAAAAAGGAAAAAACACTCATTAGATGAGGATCTCAAGACCACAGAATCATCAAAACATTCTTGAGATCATAGTACGAAAGGGTTACAGCCAATATCATCCAGTACTACTGATACACAATTGATAGCACAGAAGATGATAATGATCAGATTCATAAGAGGCTTGAGTCCATCGCAGAGAACAGTACAGGAAAACACCTAACAATCGTGATGGCAGATTTGAACGACAAGGGTAGTATGGACATCACAAGGTATCAACGATTATGTAACAACAGGTACTGAGAAAAAGAAACGAGAATGGTGAGAGACTGGCAAATTTTTGTGATTTCAACAACATGGTGATAGGCGGCCTATGCCCCATCAAGGGTAGTTGGGCTATTGATAATAACACCCATACGAGTTATTCGGGGACAGAAATTAGTCTCAGCTTCTCAGCTATTCTGTAATTTGATAATTGTCTTTGTCAAATATTTATATGCTAACCTTGAACACTTCTAATACGCATTGGTGTGTTTACGTTTGTTTATCTTTGTGTATGATGTAGTTAGTTTTCTGTCGACACATATTCTATACACTGTCTATTTTTATTTATACAATGAATCTCCTCAATTATGACGGATTTTGACTTGTGCTCCAACTTCATGTTTCCTCTGCTTATTCTTCGCCCACCTAATTGTCTGGCTATAATTGAATGGATCAAATGAAAATATTCTCACTACATTTTGTATTACGGCTTTATTGATTCAACTTTGTATTAAAGTGATATTCTGTTGATCTAGTGTTGGGTATGAATTTTAAACTGATGTTAGACACGGGTACGAAAACTTTCTTTCACAATGATTATCGATAATATGTTCGACAGATTCACTACATAGTGTGACAACCACCCTCCGATTTTGTGAATAACTATCACACTACCAACTTCATTTAACTTCACTTATTACACTTCTGACTATAATCTTGAGGATATATCTCAAAGGTATTCGCTAATGAATAAACGATAATTATCAGGATATAGGATTTCTACATACTAGTTTAATTTAGTTTGAGTTTTGTGGGGAGTTGAGTTCTCTGAGCTGTGTGGTTTAATCATCAAACTCTTATGACCATTTTTGAAAATATTATCAGCACAATCTTCAGATGGAGCTGTTTGGACTACATATATCACTCACATTTTAACAGGCTAAGTATCAATAACGAAATTCAAACTTACAGCTGATCTACCTAGCTATTAGTTACATGTGGAGAAATCCGAATAGCTCACTTTTACCTGAAGTTTTTGCCGATGATGTCTAGGAGGATAGTAGAATCTTCACAATTAAACCACCATGCTTAGCGAGCACATCGTTCCCAAAGTCATCCCTACTAAACTACAAAACTTTTCTATTTCCAAATCATAATTTGTCTTAAATGCATTTTTCCTTCAAAATTTATCTTGGCAACATGAGAATAATCGTAGATATTATCATCATTCACTCAGTATTGTTTGTTTGAATCTTCCCATTGATGTTTTCAGGACTACAACTGGTCAGTCTCTAATTGGCATATATGCATGCTGTGCGTATTGCCTCGATATAGCCTTACTTCACAAGCATTCTAAGCAAAGATGGATGGTGGTTAGTAGTGGAATCCAGGACGCGCGTTTCGTCCTAGTGTTGTTTTTTCTTCATTGGAAAAATAGTTAAGTCTAATCAACAATTAATTATCTGAATATGAATCTAGTTAACTTTACACTCATACACACACATATGTATATGTTAAATAAACATCATACAAAAATATACATTCACGGTCATTAGTAATATAAATACCCACTGTTTTTATATGAAAACACAAATTGAATAAACTGGATACAACAACAACAATAATAATAACTAGCCAATCATTGAATTGAATTAAGCCTTGAACTTGACTGATATTTAAAAGGTCAAATGTTATAAATTACATTACTATAAAACAAATATTAGTTATCAGAAGGGGTTTTGTAGAGATTTAGTATTTTCATAGTTGAAAGTGTGAGTCAATTGACATAAGTGGTGGACATTTTTTTACACAATGACACAATGTATATTACGCAATAGTACGAGTAGTTACAACAAACACCTGCCTAAAAATTTATTTTCAGAAACGAAATGCAGGCAATTAACCCTTTGTTATTTAGATAGTTTTAAATTTAACCTATTTTTATATAAAATGAGCTCCATAAATAAAACTAAACATATTAGGGACAACATCTGAGTACGGCCGAGAGTGGAGAGAGTCCGCCCTCCCTCTCCAAATGCTCTCACATGACCACGCGTATATAGCCCCTGCCAGGAAAGTTCTACTCACTGCCTTCTCTCGCCATTACTGTTGTTTACGAAATTGAGAGGACGAAAAGCGAATGTCCGGCACTTTAACTGGGTTGGTGGACACGGATAGTCCGCCTAGGGGAGTTGCAAAACCCTCATTCCAAACTAATGGTGCACATGAGCTGGCTCCAGTATCCTGAGAAAACAAATAAAGTATGAATCAATCGTTGGTCATCGGCTACCATGGGACTGCATCTCCTCACGATGCTCCACTGCCTTGTGGATCAGACCTTTAGGTCGAAGGCTCCGGGTGTAGCCCCTTAAGAAAACCACCTGCTTCAGTCTGGGCATCCGGGCAGTATCACAGCCCTTACACAAATCAAATGAGATTTGTGAGGCGCATATGTATTCAGTGCCCCTTTGTATCAATATTTATGCGTTCAAATAAATAAATAATAATAAAATGAGTATATAAATAACAAATAAGTAATAAAGTCACAAATATTTTATCGCCTTTGAAAGGTTGCACTAAAACAAAGTTTAAATGATTCAATAGTTTCAATCTGATGAACTTTGGATAGATGTATTATGACATCAATGTAAAATGAAATAGTACTAATTCATATGAAAAATCACATACTATCAGCTATAATGTTAAAAAAGAAAGTCCAGTGTTCAAGTGGTATGATAATTCATCCCAAGTTTATGAACAGTCAAATATCATTTACAATAGAAAGATAAAAACATGAACAAAAAGTTAAATGTACTAATGACTACAAATGTTATTTGTTAAGTTTAGTTTTTTGAGTAAATTCTAATTTTTATAGTTGAAATCATGAGTTAATTGAAACTAGACCACCATGGAAAACCTGGAAGCATTGGACAGCCGTTCCGTCCTATCATGGGACTCCACAGCAGTGCGCATCAACGATTCCACACTCGCGAGATTCGAACCCAGGACCTACCAGTCTCGCGCCAGAGCACTTAACCGATAGACCACTGAGCCGGTCGGCATCCAACGGTGTTAATGTTGAATTTTGTCTAACAAACGCTCATCAGAATGTGAAGCTAAATGTTTTTTGTCAGTTAAATAATAACTAAGTACGTTATTCAGATCGCGAACAGACCATAATTAGAAAAGCACTGAAAACAAAGGGACACTAGAAAAGCGTTTTGCCTTAGTGTGAGACTCCTCAAGTGTCCTTTAGAGATTGAACTGAGGACCTACAGCTTTCACGGCGTGCCTAAACCTTAAAATACTGAGCTACCATCAAGAGATTACACGTTCATTGTAGGATGTGAAGCCCCTTTTGCTCGACATCTGGTGAGGCTGTGGGTGCTCACTGTTGAGGAATCCCATACTAGGATTCCGTGGTTTTAAATAATTATCTAATCTAGGTCGGTTCGTTATCTTCGCACCACTCAAAAATCCATACAAACTCCCATATTGATAAGTAGGTATGTATTGAACTAGGAAAGAGAACACGACTTTCAGAAGATAGAATGAATTCAACATATAATTTCATACTTTCTTGTTATGTGTAAGCTGTCTAGATTTAAAAGCAGTTGTAGGGCATGGAAAAAAGAGATTGAAATTACCCATAATTTGGATAAGTGATTGTATTATTATTAAGTTTATTATGATTGTCGTTTATACATATTTCCGTGTGACCTCACCTCCTTTACGGTATACGGCTAGATTTTCAACAATATTAGTATGCAATAATTTCAAACTACAACGTTTGGTATCATTTTTTGTGTGGTTTCCCTCTAAATGAAGGTTTCGTTTCTTCATTTTGCCCTAACCTCACTGAGATGCAGGTACATTCAGCTGACGAGTCCCAAATAAGACAAAACGCGCGTCAAACTGGATTCCACTGCTAGCCATCATCCATCTTTATTTATAATGTTTGTGACTTAAGACAATATCGAGGCAATCCGTACAGTATGCACATATGCCAATTAGAGGCTGACCAGTTGCAGTCCAAAAGCATCAATGGGAAGATTCAAACCAAACAATACTAAGTGAACTCATTGACTAAAGTTTATCAATATCTTATTGTAAATTTATATGTATTCAGTCAATTACTGAATCAATATTCAACGATTACATACAAATAACTAGCACAAATAGTGTTCTTTGTGAACATGGTTTTATACAGTTTTGTTGAATAACAAACAAACTCACTAGAAATAATTGAGTGGGTTTCATTTGTAAATAGAATTAGTCTAATTTTGTGATGAATAAAACCTACTACTTAACTACAGGTGTATCTAATAGGTTTTGAGTTGATTTCTGGTAAGGGCTCATACCTAACTTGTTTTTATCCATCATTTGCACTGTCATATCAGCTGGATATTGGTGAGTTTTATCAAGGTCACTGACCTTTAATGAAGTTTAATAAATATTAGAGGAATAACAGAAATAGTTTGAAGACTATTAGTAGAAATTAACTAAAATACTGAACGTCAAGTTCTACTTAATTTTGGGATGGTCATATCTCAGAAATGTGGACAGATTTAAACTCAACGCCAGATTTTAAACTTTGATCCAAAATTTCGACGTCAGATATTCACAATTTATATCCGTGTAAGGTCATAGATGATATCTCTCAAAATTAGTCGCAACTGCTTTCTTTTTTGTTTTACTCATCCTACATTTCTGTTTCTTGAATTTCATTTGTATCATTTTGAGTTTTTCTAGGTTCCTCATGTTAAGATTTTGACTGTAATTTTTTGATTTTGTTTTACTGTCCTGTTGAACCTATTAGTTTCCTTGAGCGTGACAATTTGGACTGATATTAATACATTTCAGACCTTATTCTGCATTGTCTATGACAGAAGTAATTGTGTGTAACTTTTGACACATTCTACTAGATTTCATGAAACTAGAATATCGGAGTTGCAAAAATTTAACAGTCTCATGATACAGTAAATAAAAAGGAACATGTAAGCAAATAATGAATTCTACTCACAGAATATTGCCGATGACATGCCGATGGTATACTCCCGTCATGTTGCCAAGTTTCTGTATCTAAAGACTTCTTTAATTTTGGCGCTACGAAATCGGCATAAAGATCTGAAATATTAGACAGAATGCAACGGACTTAAACTTAGATGAGCTACATATTGACATAATGAAGAAATGTTTAAAGTCATTTTGACGAAAAAAAGGCTACGGAAATGAGGTTATCATCTAGACCATATTACGTCACTATAATGTTACATACGGAGATTTGTTATTCAAGAAAATTATATAGAGACAGTTAGCAAAGATAATCCCTTTCGTGTTGTTGAGATTAATTTACATATATAGTGATGGTAAAATGTTTTTATAGTCCTTCAAAAACATGACATAAATATGTTTTGCCCAATAGAAGAATTGAATTGAAGCTAATTTTTGAGGTCAGTCTATAGTGCCCACAGACGGCATCAAGTAACAGTATTTATTAATCAGAAACTCAGGCAACTTCATTTATTAATAAAAACATCGGGGACACAACAATTTACGTAAATGCAGTAATGTATCGGCAATGACAGTGACAGACGTTTATGGTACAACTCACAGCTGTGTTTAAACATCCTAGCTGTGTGATAAAGTCTACAGCTAATAGTATGATTTTTTGCAGATTTTAATCTATGAGATTAGACAAGATTAATTGATGGAAGTGGTTTTCTCTGTCAATCACTGAATTTTCTAGTTGAAAATTACACAAACAACTGGTAACATTAATACCAGTCACCAGATGCTAGTCATAATGTCATACAACCTAGTAGTAGTAGTAGTAGTAGTAGTAGTAGTATATATATTAAAGTATTGTCGTAAGCTAGAAAACCCCATAACAAACTTGACATCTGCTGACCATCAACATATATTATTAGGATTCCAGACAGTATGACCTGTTAAATATCGACTTAAACTTTTGTTTTGTTACAAAAGCGCGTCAGCCGTCAACCTCCCTGGGCTAATGATACTTTTCAAGTGGGATTTTTTCAACTATCTCATCTCCAACTACCAAAACAGATAATATTAATGACTAAATGTACTGTGTCTGACGCGTACTGAATGGATGCGTAATGCCCTTAATTTTCTTTAGGTCATTCTAATGACTAAGTTTTCAGGTTTTCGAGTGGAAGATTACTACCGTATGGATATCCTGAGTTAGAAGATATATCAACGTAGTAAAAATCAAATTTACGTGCAAAAGAACGTATTTAACAAAACCAAATAAATATGAATGAATGAGAACACTTATTGACGAATCATAATCGATCATATCAAGATTCGATATAAGATATTACACAACTGTTTGAGCTGAAACAAAAAACCTCCATATATTTGGAATATTTGTCTGCTATTTCTGTTGGAAAGAAGAGGGGTTGTGAAATTTTATTAACAAGCTGAAATCCTACTTTGAAGTAGCTGAACATAATTAGGTTAAGGAATTCCAAAGTAGATCATTGCGTTGAAAACCAGCTTGGATGTATAACTTCTTTAATAATGTCACTTATATGTTAGTAAGACGAGCATTTTCATAAAACAGAAAGTGGAACAGCGAATTTAAAGGCAAATACAGTATAGTAAACATGCATAAAGTTGTATCCTAGAATTCAACTGAAATCTTATCTAAGAAAACAACATGACAAAGATTTTATCAAACAACAGAAAGTCCGAAAATAGTGTTTTAGTGGGACTAAATAAAGTGTAATGGTACCTACTATATTATCAATGTTAGATAGCTGTTATGTGAATGGTATAATTTGTATAATCAAATCATACATGGACATATTTTATGTGATTACAAGTTAACCATAATACTCTGTTGAAATGTTCAGTAGACGAAATTCCAGACTAATACCAACTAGTCAGACACCCAACTTCAATTTTCGACAAAAAAAATAAAGATGCTTATCATGCAGTGATTCCAAATTTTTAAAGAAATTTTCGTCAAAATGATTATTACAATTACATAAGTATATATGGCTAACCTTTGCCGAAATCCGATGATTTTGAGAAATGATTAAGTTGAAAAGAACGTTTAGCTGTTTGCAACTCAATAACTTTACTTTGTGTTTCAGTAAACACTTTTTGATTCTGAAGTAATTTCGCCAAATCTGGGAACTCTGACTTTAAACTGGATGCAATATATGCACCTTGAAATAATGGACGAGCCAAAGCAAACTGTGTAACTATCAAATGAACCATAAAAAATAACATTTTAGCGCAATGAATATTTGAAATTAAAAAAAAAGCGGTAAACGAAAATTGAGCGTCAAAGAAAATTAATTTTCAGAAAGTGAGTAACAATTTTGGACCTAGTTAACCTGCTTCAATTTTGAGAAACTGAGTACAATGCCACAAACCTTGAAGAGATAAATGTGAATAAAAGTCTAGAAAAGTAGTTTCTACTAGACCTATGAATTACACTAAATAAGGATGAATATAATATATTAACCGGTTATGATGTAATGATGTTGCACAATATTAAAAACCCTTTTAAATGCATAAGAATTATAGGAACATGAGAGTGAAAACAATAAAAATGAAATAAGCTACACGTTATTACTAGATGCTAAAAAAAGTATCTATACAACTAATGAAGAGAAGTGATACTTTGTGGAAAGTTTTAACACATATAATTCCAACCAAATAGACTTCCTTTTACCCGAAAAATGATGAAAAGAGGGGATATCCAAACTACACACAAGTTTTAGGGTTTTCTAATTTTCATCGTTGTACACCACGCTAATGAATCAAAATAAAGACTTGAAACAGTATTATTTCGTGTAATGATTCTAGTGGTAAAATATGTCAAACGCAAGTAAGATAGTATTCCCAACCAACTTGGAGATGTATTTACTTGTGAGCCTCGTCTCAACATAGAATTACTTCAGAAAGCAATGTCACGAAATAGTTTACTAACTGTAGACGTTAACTAGTATGGTGTACTAAGAGCATTAAGATTTTTAGATGAGGGAATGTCAGCAGGGCCAAATTAACTACAGTTCTAGTGACTGAAACATGTAATTTGTGTGACTGCTATGTTACAACGATATTAGGAATAATACTTGGCTAGCGTATTTTAATACTGAAGTGAAAGATTCACTTATCCACAAAATAGAACTTAGTGAGCATCCATCAGATATTTGACCTATGACATTGAATGAAATGCACCAAATGACTAATAAAGTACAATAGTACAGTATGGTCGAGTAGTAACTGCTTATAAGACAGAATAATTAACGTAAAACTTCAATTCAACTGAATTTTAAAAGATAAAGTAACTGCTCAGTTGATTAGATTTTTTTAACAAAATGGCGCATTTGCATACACAAACACGGAAATAAACACAATCAAAAGTCATGTTACAAATAAATTATTGGACGATGTGGGAAATATGTACCATTTATTCTCCAAATGAACTAATGCTTAACATCTAAGACTAATTACCGATCACTATATTTAAAGTACGGTTGAAAATATATTGTAAATAATTATTAAAAAACATTTCAAATTCCCTTGAAGCTCATTTCTTGTTCAACAGTATTCAGATCTACTCTGAAAACGGTTTGTTGTGTATAAAAAACCTCACAACAAAAAGAGTTGCTACACAGAAAAAGCAAGCAAATACAATCTATGTTGACTTGGACAAAGACTTCTACAAGATTCCGAACAATTCACTCCGATCGAAGCTAGAAGGCTTAGAAATAACCGGATATTTGCCTGAGTGAATCGAAAAGTTTCCTCTTAGTCGCAGAAGAAAAATAATTCTCCTTTCTGAAATTAGTACTTAGTGTAATATCACAGTACTGCGTCCATTTTTTTATTTTTCCATCTCTGTGAAATTTTACTCATCAACTCTTCAAAGCTATTATGGGCTGATAACTTCAAACAATGAATTACTATGTACGTACCCTACAAGTTGATTTCAAATTCTAGATAAGCTGATCTCAAGCCTAGTGAGTACCAATCAATGTTGTTGCGTTCTCATGCCCAATGGCCGCATATATATCACTAAATACGAAATCGTAAAAATACTCAGTCTTAAATCGCAGTGATCTGGGAGTCATAGTACTTTATGCCCTGGAGGTTACGATTAACTGACGTTTGATCCAATATCTAGGTTTGGAAAATTATGGTCACTAAGGTGATCCTTCTCAAAGATGGACAAAAATATGTTCGCCAGTGTTGATACAATTCTTTTGAGATTCACATTGAAAACCTATACACGGGCTTCAAGATTTTGTTAAATATATGACTCAGGTTTCCTAAAAGGAATATAAATGATCGTTGCTCACGTAAATCTGACTATATATGACATTTCCTGCAACAACAGACCTGAAAAGTTACAAACGTTTTACCCTGTTCTACTGTAGATTGAAAAGTAACTTAATAATGAGTCACAGAATGATGAGAAGTTATGTTTGACCTAACAGATCATTTTGTCGGAATAATGCAGAAGACACGTCAGATAAGTTCTAAAACAAATGAAGAGCAGACGCTATGTTTTAAAATTTTTTTTCGCTGATTAATCAGCTCTTGAGACCGAATGCCAGTAAAAGTGTTGTTATTGCCATCAACTGATTCACTCAAGAGAAGACCAAACACAGACACAGTCTTTATATTATATAAAACCACATAGCTAGATTCGAGTCCAATCAACTGGAGGTTATCAACTTACCAAATAACACCATCCTATATTTAGTAAGCCTAGATAATCTCTCCAACGTCCAATATATCTCTAGCAAATTTGTACAGATTAATTAATTTCCTTGCCCTAGTGTCTTGATAATAAGTTGTTCCAAGTCTTTGGTAGCACCAAGTTCATTTATTACTCCAAATAACTATAGTGAATCTGATAGTTACTCGGAGGTTGATATGAATAATGGCATTTGTTCCAAGGTAGAGGATTCAGTGTCTGGCAAGCTCCTTTCATTATACGTCTATGTAAATCTTTGCTGTTTCAGATAAATGAAAAACCAAACAAGTCATGAGACAGATGAACGATCCTGATCTTATTAGTTAATCTGTTCGTCTTAATAAACCTGTCCTTACCAATCCAAATAATCGTTTTGCTTCTTCCGATGCCACATCTACATGCACCTGTTCTTAATTGTATTTGTATGTGTACTTATTTACTGATTGCAAAACAATCACCGAAAATCAACTTGGTACCTGAACAAGTTGTAAATATAGCATTACGGAATGAATATTTGAACTCTAGGAGAATTTTCAGTCCTCATGATTAACTAGTAATCTGTAAGAAAGATTTATTGGACCAAAAAATGCAGTGAGACTATTATCTACGGACGTCCTTAAGCAGCATGGCTCTGTAAAAACATCAAACGTACTAACGTCAAAAGAGGGCTGAAAATCTGTACGAGGAATTAGGAATAGAATTTCAAGCTAAAATTCATGGTCGGGAATAAAACTTAGGGTTTTTATCATCAGCTGACACCAACCATGATGCCGAAATGCTGGTAAACTACATAGATGAATGAATTTCACGCCCAAATTCAGGACTTGTTACCACTGATTTGATTGTTTCGTCTATAAATTATAGTCTTGCCAAAATACATGTCTGAGCATTAAACGGCATCACCAGAACTCAAAATGATCAATTACTTAGAGATTTGAGGTGTTTCTTCTCCAAAGTAACACACAGGAAATGTTGACCATATGTATATCCGGTTCTTGGGTAAACATAAGATGTATTCGTATATGACAACTTTGGTATGCTGTGGATAATCCAAAATCCCGTATTTGTGCTATCGAAAGCAAATGCACCTGCACAAAATGTTACTATTCACCAAATATACCTTTCATATGACCCCACCATAAGTTCTCTAGATCATAACCTAATGGCTTGGTCCATTTAGGAATCTCATCGTTATACATCCCGATTACAGAATCAGGCTTGTCAACCAACTTGAACATGGATTCAAACGTATTTTTCATCATTCCTTTTTCATTAATAGGGGATTTGGAAAACTTCCAGTTCCTCTGATCAGCGTTCATAAAAACAACGTCGTAACCTTTTGGTAATTTGTAGCCTACGAACCTTGAAACATGTTACGAATGAGATAACCCTACCAGTCGACTGTATGACCATCATCATCAAGACATGAGAGAGTTTGGGAAAACTTAATTATATAAATCAGAAATAATACAGAAAAGAACATGATAACTGCAAAGCAATTTGAATAATTCCAATGTCGTTGAAAGGTCAACAATATCATGTATCATTGACTAATAAAAATCTTCAATATCCAATATCGTTATTTAAAAAACTATGATAATAAATTGATGTGGTATCTTTTCTTCAAATTAGAAAAAAATGATACATAATTCCGCCTGTGTTCAATATAGGTGATTCGCTTACTCAGCTCAAACGAACCTACGGAATAGTATAGATATTCGTAATTAGTTCTAACGAAATATTAATAAAAAGTCTTCTACAGGGTAACTACAAGATTTGTTCTACTCTTTTGATTCATATCATAGAAGTTGAAGTGGTTTCAATGACATGATACTTTTCACAAAAGTACACGTGACAGTGTTTGAGGACACGAAGATAGGGTTATCTAGGTAGGTGTAGGTTTAAAAGCCATCAATGAAGAGCTATTAGCACTACGTACTAGCTCAAAAGTGCAAAACCTAATCCACCTCTACAATAAACGTGCTAAATCAACTCAAAATGCTGATATACCATGCATCGTGCATAATAATAGTTTTATATATGACCCAAAAACCATAGCAGACCTCTCCAGTGGTAATTTTGCAAATGGCAAAGAATCCAAAAATGGCTCTGTTTCTAGAGTTATATGCATGACTGATAACTCAATTAAATCTATCTCCTTCACATGTCTGAAAATTAGTAGGGTTATAAATAACCTCAAGTTTTCGAAAGGTCACGGAGCAGATGGGATTTCATCATTTCTTTACAAATATGGTGTCCAGATATTCCACTTCTTCTCTTTAAGCTGTTTACTCTCTCTATATAATCAGGCTCTTATCCTGACCGTTGGAAAACCACGTACATCATACCACGTTACAAATCCGGAGATAAGACTGACATGAACAACTATCGGCCAATAAATATTACTCCAGTTATCTCTAGGATTATGGGAAAAATTATTAGTGACGAACTATCCAACTATTTACTGACTGAACAATTTATTGATGATTCGCAACATGGATTTCTTAAAAATCGATCCGGTGTGACATGTCATTTTGACTTCTTTAATTTAGTCTATTCGCTTCGTAGTCAAGGATATCTAGTATTAGTGCTATACCTGGACATTTCTAAGGCCTTCGACATTGTCAACCACCAACTTCTCATAGGTAAACTCGCATCTTATGGAGTCCAAAACCCGTTGCTAGCCTGGTATGATTCCTTCCTCAGCAATCGACATAAAATAGTTAAAATCAACTCTTCATTGTCGAATGCCGTCCTTGTTAGAAGTGGGGTAATTCAAGGTAGTGACTTAGGACTTTTGCTCTTTTTAGTTTTCATTAATGATATTTGTGAGTGTTTTTGTGTGAGTAAGTCCCTTTTGTATGCAGACGATCTTGAGGTGGTGTACTCATTTTCTCCACATGAGCTGAGAAATATTCAAAATTGTATCAGCACGGAGCTTAACAAGGTAGCACAGTGGTGCTCGAAATGGCAACTGGAGCTTAATACAGCTAAATGTGGTTGGTTATGCTTCGGTGATACATCACTCAACCTCGAACTTACTGAGGATACCACTGAGGATACAACGGATATTCTAGTTTGGCAACTAGCAACCAGTAGTATCTTCTATAATCGTTCTTTCCCAGTCGAATAGAAACCAGAAGTCAAACGAGGAGAGGTAGGAAAGATATATTTGATACGTTACCAATATATCGAGGAACCTTTACTATAAGCTGGCTAATGAACATAGGAGCTGTGTCCCACGCCGTGTTGCAACGTGATCTGGTACGGATGCATGACCGAAAGCCTTCAGCTAAACAAGTCCACTTAAACAACGTGGTCAGCATCCAATGTCGAACACTTAGTGAACTATTGATTTTGGGGAATTATTTACAGCTACAGATCACTCCCCCCCTAGTGAGGTAGTGATGCACCTAAGACGTGACCAGCCAGAAGTTTAAACCCAACGAGTTTGTCGTTGGTAAACACTCTTCTGATAGCTTGCTTCGTTTAGCAGCGTCTGGTCGTCTTTCCTTAAACTATGGGACCAAAATGTACAACATAGCAATAAAGAAATATAGTACAATGAAAATTTCGGTTCCTTGCGAAACTTCGTCGTTCTTTTCCAGCCGTCCTGGAAAAGAGGAAAAATAAAACATGTGAAAGCATGTCGAAAATACACTCGTACTTGCGTAAGGACACAAGATGAGCGAAAATAAAAAAAACTAATACACTTACAAACAGCGTGAAGGCGATCAGGAAAAAAGTGTTTTTTTTGTTTTTTTATATATAAAAAAAATATATATATACGCTCAAAAAAAGATAAAAATGTTTTGTTTTTTTGGTTTCTTTATATAAATAAAAAAATTATCTTATTAAAAAATTTTTTATAATGAACTGTGGAAGGGTAATTCAAGATAAAGCTTATGTCCTACGTGCAATATTCGTTAGGATGTTCTGGAAATCTTACTCGTCTTCCAGAACGCGTTGTTTTAGGTTTATTTATAGATGTTGACGAAGTATCAAGTTGTGTGTCGGTTGTCGTGTAGGGTACTACGAGTGTAGTGGCTGTGTCGTTTGCTTGTACCGAAGGAAAATCGACGTAGCTAGGGTTTCCTTCTAGGTACGCAGCTTTGAGTCGATTGATACTGATGCTATCTTTCGTACCGTTCTTATCTACTACATAGTACTTAGGTTCACGTTGAAGAACTTTGAAGGGTCCTTCGTATGCTGATTCGAGGGGTCGTCGATGTGAGTCTCGACGAAAAAAACGTGTGTACTATGTCGTAATTCGGGTTGAACGAAAACATCAGTTGATTGAGGTCGAGTGTGAGCAGGTTTAACTGAACGCATAGCGTTTGTAAGCCTACTCGTGTAAGAGTTTAGATCCATGTTCAATGAAGAAGCTGAAGGATCTACGAATTCTCCTGGGAGTCGGAGTGTCGTTCCGTAAACAAGTTGAGATGCCGTGTATCCAATGTCAACTATCACTGCATTGCGGATACCTAGCAAGACGAGTGGAAGAGCGTCTGTCCACTGTGAAACGTTTGAAGCTGATAATGAAGCTTTTAGTTGTCGATGAAAGCGTTCTACCAACCCGTTTGCTTGTGGGTGGTAGGCGGTCGTTCGGAAGCGCGTGATTCCTAAAAGCGAGGTGAGACAACGGAAAAGTCCAGATTCGAACTGGCGTCCGCGGTCTGTAGTGATGGTTGAGGAGCAGCCGAAATTTGCTACCCATCGTTCGACGAAAGCGCGGGCCACGGTTTCAGCAGTAATGTCCTTAATCGGTACTGCTTCTGTTCATCGAGTAAAACGGTCTACGCATGTTAGGAGATATGAGTATCCGTTTGAGTCGGGTAAGGGTCCTACCAAATCTAGATGGACGTGATCGAAACGAGCGTCAGTGGTTTTGAAAGAGCCTAAGGGACATTTGTTGTGTCTTATGACCTTAGATTTCTGACAGCTTACACAGGAGCGTGCCCACTCCCTCACGTTTTTATTCATGCCAGGCCAACAAAAGCGTTCGGCTATAAGTTTGACAGTTGCACGAGCACCTGGATGAGAAAGGTTGTGCAACGTATTGAAGACGTTGCGTCAATAATATTTTGGTACTATTGGACGATCCCTACCTGTAGATGTGTCACAGAGTAAGGTTTCCTTACCTGTTCCCATCTGCTTAATACTTAGTTTTAGAGTTGTCGAGGATAACTCATGCTGAAGATCAATGTCTTCTTTTTGAAGCTGAGCGAGTTTAAGAAGGTCGATTCCTTGGAAACTGTTCAAGGAACTTATTCGAGACAAGGCGTCTGCGACTACATTGTTAGCTCCAGAAATGTGTTGTATGTCTGAAGTAAACTGCGAAATGTAGTCGAGTTGTCGAGACTCTCGCGGTGAGTACTTGTCTGAAGATAAACTTAAGGAGAAGGTAAGAGGTTTGTGATCGGTAAAAAGTGTGAATTCTCTTCCTTCGATGGAATGTTGGAAATGCCGTACAGCACAATACATAGCTAGGAGTTCCCTACCGAACGTGCTGTACCTAGATTCCGCGTCTAGCAACCGTCTCGAGAAAAATCCTAAAGGTTGCCATGAGTTGTTAACCCATTGTTGTAAGACTCCTCCGATTGCCGAGTAGGATGCGTCTACGGCGATACTAATGGGCGCTTGAGTGTCCTGATGAGCAAGCAAGGTTGCTTTAGCGATGTGTTCCTTAACTGTGGAGAATGCTTTACGGGCTATGTCGTCTAAACTAATTGATTTCGCATTTCAACGAAGCTGATCGGTTAACGGTTTCATAAGGGATGCGCATTTGGGTGTGAACCGTCTATAGAAACTTACAAGTCCGTTAAAAGTTCGTAAGTGCTTGATCGTGGTTGGTTCTGGGTAATCCAGAATGGCCGCCACTTTGCTTCTAAGGGGTCGGATGCCTTGAGCATCAATGGTGTGTCCTAGGAAGTCTAAGGAGTTTGTTCCGATTTGGCATTTCTGAATATTGACAGTAATGCCATGCCTTTGGAGTCGATCGAAAACAATGTCCAGATGCTTGAGATGCGATTCTCTGTCCGGACTTGCTATTAGACAGTCATCAACATACTCATGTACGAAGTTGAGACCTCGGAAGACGTCGTCTATAAACCTTTGGAAGGTTTGAGCCGCGTTTCTTAAACCAAAGGGCATTCGTAGAAATTCGTAAAGACCGAAGGGAGTGATGATGGCGGTTTTAGGAATGTCGTCAGTTGCCATCGGGATTTGGTTGTAAGCTTTAACCAAGTCGATTTTCGAAAAGACAGTTGTACCTTTCAAGGTAGCTGTCAAATCGTGAATATGAGGCAGCGGGTAACCATCGGGAATGGTTTTAGCATTCAGACGCCGATAATCACCAGTTGGCCGCCAATCATTGCTGTCATTTTTGGGGACCATGTGCAATGGGGATGACCATGGACTATTCGATGGTCGAATTATCCCTACGTCTATCATATGGTCGAATTATCCCTACGTCTATCATATGGTCGAATTCGTTTTTGGCTAACCTAAGTTTTTCGGGAGCGAGTCAACGAGCTTTCG